AGCTCTCTCTCTTTTGGTCTTATGTTTCGGATGCCCTAAGAAGATCACCTCCTTCCTCTATTTATAATCCCTTCTCCTGCTTCCTAATTCCATTAGGTCTTTCATATTTTCCTTTTCCAATTGGGTTTAACCGACTTTAACTTTCTTGCAGGAAACGTATGAGCACAAGGATTTTGCTGGATCTGTTCTTTTTTCTTGGGCTTGATCTTTATTATATTTGGGCCTATATTCAATAATCTCCACCTTAGGCCCAAATACCCAATCTTCTGTCTCTCGCTTGTCTTCTCCTTCGTGACATGAAGAGACTACGACATTCTCGTCTTCCCCACCGGTAGTGATGGCAACCTCAGCAAGCTTAACGATTGGAATGACCTGAGCTCCGGTGTCCATCTTCGTTAGCTCTAGCTTGGAAAGATTTTCGAACTTCTGGCTCAAAGAGATTCATGACTCTCTTTCTCTCTCCTCCTTAACAAATCGAATTAAAAGCTTTTCAATGGCTTCTCTGTGAGATTTTGGCCAGTGATAACAATTTCCGGTGTCCCTGATGATTCTCTGATTTAAGCATGCAACCCTGATGAATTTGCCTTTGGTGCCAACCTCCATAGCAATGACTCCACCTTGGGCTTATGAGCTTGAGAGAGTTCGCGACTCTCCCTCATGCTTGCTTTCCCAATGGTGAAGAACGCAACCTAATTGCTGATTATTCGCATCCTCCTCCGGAGATACGAATGCCTCACACGCCATTACCGTCACAACAATACTTGGAAATATAAGCAATCTCGCCGCAATTGTAAACTAGAAGCTCGAGCTCAAATCAATTCCGACCAATATGTCTTCACTTTCTGGTGAGACTTCTTTTCAGCTTCTCCGGCTTACAACTGCACTTCCTCTGTCGGTCTTTGAGAAATCAAGTGATGACTGTGTCGTAAACCCCATTTGATTCTCCCTGATAGTGAAAGTCAATGCAAATTTTCTCCAACCGAAAATTGCATCTCTTGCGAATCTTCAGTGGCTAATTACCTTTTATAATCTCAGGTATTCTCAACTTATCTTTATCTCTATATTTTGACAAGTTGACCCTGTCCTTCTCTGAGATTTCAAGTTTAGAAATTATTAAAATTTCTACTTTTATCCTGCCGCTTATGAACAGCCCGTGTTCTTCTCCGTCATACTCTAATGACCTCCTTCGAAACCCTTTTGTCTTTGCAGCTTTTCCTGGGAGCTCCACCTGAAAGAAATAACTCCTTTAGATTCTCAGGTAATCCCCTTAGCCTTTTAATTTCTCTGACTTGAAACAGACTCCCTTCTCATCACATGAAACATGAAATAATCAGTTCCTTTTTTTTTTTTTTTTTTTTTTTTTTTTTTTTTTTTTTTTACTGTTTTATCTTCCTGCAGCGTCTGCAACGACTCACTTCTCTGCTACACGTCTGCAACGACTCACTTCTCTGCTACACCGCTGATCCAGGTAAACCCTTTTTCCTGACCTGCATCTTCTTATGTCTTGTCTCTTCCAATCTTATGAAACTCTATCTTGGTTTCTTTTGATTTCCTGCAGCTACTCCACCTGAAGCAATTTCTTTTTCTTTTCCTGTAGCTACTCCTCCTGAAACCAATATCTCTTCACCATAGCTTCATAATTGTCGCAGGTAACCTTCTTAAAACCTTATATTGTTTGTTTTTCCCTTAACAAACTATCAATCACTAGACCTCTTTTATGACTACTCTTAAGCTCATGAATATGTAATAGTGATTAAATAAATCCCTGACCCCTTGCAACTTGATTTCCTTTGAATTCCTTTTGATTCTTATCATGTGCACTTGATCTTGGAATCAACCTCTTCCTTGAATCTGTTGCATTAAACAAAACCATACATGCTTTAAATATTAAAGCAGTCCCTGATTCAACACCCTTGTGCCTTAAACAACATAGTCTTGGAATCCTCTTTGTACCGCTGTTATCCCAAACAGAACACGCCATCAAGCCAACCTGCTAGACATACTTTCGACACAAACCCCAGTCCAAGCTTCTTGTTTAACCTGCTCCTTTTTAACCGTTAAGCACTACCTTGCTAGTCTCTTTTTAACTTGTCTCACACCAACTGCCGGTGACGTTCTTAACACTTCTCTTTGTAACAGCTCTCCTTGATATCACTTCTAGACCCCATGATATCTCTTCTAGCTGACACTCCATCCTCTTGTCGTTCCTTGAACTAAGACACTTGAGACTTCTTTCTGCATGCACTTTGTATCACACCTCGAGCTTGTGACTACCTTTCCTGCTGTAAAACCTATCCAAACAATACTCGTTGCATGTATTGTTAACTCACCAACACTTTGGTGCCTACATCACACCATGCTTTGGACCTATCATCAGAAATCTTCTGATCCATCAGTGTGCTTCTTCACGCCAATTTAATCTCCTTTGTCCTCCTTAGAGAATTTTCTAGTTCTCTTCTTGTGATGCCAAAAGAGAACAAGTATAACCATACTTGTCTCTTACTCTCCACGCAGCTTGTTAATATATCCATGCACTCATTCTCCTTACTTGAATGCCTTCTGATTTTAAAACACAGCTTCTCGTGTTTTCTTTTGTATTCATTCCCTTTTAGAATCTTGCTTTCTTCTATCTTGGAGCCTTCCTCACGTTCTGAAAGTGATAACTTAGACTAATACACCTTTAGTCTCAACCTCAATACTTGACGTCACAAAACTATGACATCCCCTCCAGCAATGCGAACATATACATGTCTTGTACCGCCGTTTATGATAAACAGGACACGCCGTCTAACTCCGTGTTAGAAAGACTATCGATACAACACCCATTGTATATTTCATTGCGATATGACTTTTGAGCACCAATCACCCAGAACATGCAGTCTCTTATGCCTTTCAAGATATCTTCTTAAATATAGTGTCGTGATAATCTTCCTTTATGGCGAAGATGATCATGCACTGTTTTCCCTTAGGCCATTACCATGGCCTCACGTCGACTTCTTCCGACGTACAACAATGATCACGAAACACCACCACCTTTCTTCAAACCATAACCTGAAGCTCTAACATCATCTCTACTTTGATCTTAAAATCTTTTGAAACAACTTCCTTTTTCAATAGATCCTTGAACACACTTTGTACCGCCATGAGTAATGGAACCCGCCGCCTAACTCTCACCCTTGTTAGGAAGACTTTCGACACCGACCTTGTTCAACTCCCTTGAGATGATGTTATTTCTTCCACCTTGTACTTCCCTAAGCAAAGACACGTTACCTTTGATTTTTCGACCCTAAAACTTGGAGACGATGGATCGCAGCTTCCTCAAAGAATAGATAGGTCCCATTATCTTTCTTCTTTGCGATTCTGCTCGGACTCCTTATTTGCAATCAAAACCTGGATTGCTCTGATACCACTTGTTAGGAATTCTCGATCGTTAGATTGCTTAATTCTATAACACAAACACAGAGAATTTGATCACCGAGTTCCCGGCCTCTAGCGCGGTACGTCTCGGGTGGGAACCGTCTCCCACAACATCCATTATCAATCAAAGGGTTTTACACAAACGCTCTAAGCGCTCGCTCTAAGCGCTCAATAGAAAGACACAACAAAGAATAAGAGAGATCAAAGAAACTCTATCCCGAAGCGACATGACTCGAACAATGTCTCTTGCCTCTAGTTTCTTCTAACCTTAATCTCTCTCTAGCTCTCTCTCTTTTGGTCTTATGTTTCGGATGCCCTAAGAAGATCACCTCCTTCCTCTATTTATAATCCCTTCTCCTGCTTCCTAATTCCATTAGGTCTTTCATATTTTCCTTTTCCAATTGGGTTTAACCGACTTTAACTTTCTTGCAGGAAACGTATGAGCACAAGGATTTTGCTGGATCTGTTCTTTTTTCTTGGGCTTGATCTTTATTATATTTGGGCCAATATTCAATAAATTTATATCTGATTTTCAAGTGCTAGAGCGATAAGAGAAAGATTAGAGTGGTTTGGGTGAAGCTTTATTACTGAAAGCTACTTTAACCCAATAAACCTAACATCTTTATAGGCCTTATTTTTTTGAGCAACCTTTATGGGCCTTATAAAAATTGGGCTTATGATGATCAGAAACAGACTTCTGTAACGGTGTGTGTAAATCAAGTAAGAAAAAAGAATGGCAATGATGATAGAGAATGGAAAAAATAGAGTTAGAGAAACATAGAAGCTTTCCTTGTTAGGCAATTTCATCTTGGAACTTGTCCCTTTTTTTTTTTTTTTGTCCCTCTTTATTCCTTTTGTCTTATTAGGGATCCATCACAACAACCACAACAAGGTACTATCTATCATATCAATCAAACAAACAAACACTCTCATTAATAACCACATTAAATAAAAAGTGTTGATAACGATTTCGAATTCTTATTAATGAGATCAAAAGTGTGAGGGTGTGTTCACTCGTGTATGTGTACTGCACAGTGCTCACAACTGTCTAGTCAGAACGTGTCGTTACCAGATGGCAGATGATCTCTCGTTGCAGGATGTAACAGTCCAAACAACAAAAAGCAACCAATCTCCTCTTTTCTATATTTATCTTTTTCATTTATTTCCACAGGACAATTAAACGGATTTTAAAGATCAAAAACGATTAGAAACAAGCATTCACCGTTAACACTATCCACTTAGACTATTTTTTGTACTTGTCTCCCCATCTTAATTCTACTAACCCATCAACGAGGCAACCAATTAAATTTCTTTAATTTTGTAAGAACATTTTTAATGATTTAATTTCTTTGCTCATAACGCAACTTGGAGAGGAAGTACATGTCTGCTCATGCATATATGGATGGAGCAAAAGGATTAATTGGGATCTGTGAAAGTTAGTTAAAGAGAGAAGAAACTGAGGGCAAAATGGTAATTAAAAAAGCAAAAATTCTCTGCAACAAACGACGCAAACAAACAAAGAAGAGACAGCTTAAACCCTTCCATAAAACCTCTCTCTCACTCTCTAGCTTTTAGCCTCAAAAATGGCAGAGCCACCACCACCGTCGTCTCTCCATCATTTCGTAAGCCCATCATCAAAACATCGATCATCATCATCGAGCAAAAGACACTCCTTCTCCGGACCTCAACATCCAACAATCAACCGTCTCTTCCCGTGTCAGTACTGTCCACGCAAGTTCTACACCTCTCAAGCTCTCGGCGGTCACCAAAACGCCCACAAACGCGAACGCGCAGCTGCTCGTCGTAACCTCGGCGTTGTTTCTCATCAGCATGCTCCTCCAAACATCCTCGATAACGACGCTACTTTCCTTCTTCCTTACCCATGTAATCTTTACCCTAACCCACTTCAGGTATCGCCATGGAGCGTACCTGATCAACAGACGACGATGATGGTGAGTGGTGGTTACGAACCGTATCCGTATCCGTATGGGTTTCCGTTTGAGGTTAGGGGAGTCATGGAAGAAAGAGAAGACGAGCCACAGCTGGATCTTTCTTTACATCTCTGAGTGCTTTTCTGTTTTAGTTTGTTTTGTCTTTTGTTCAAGTCTCTTTTAAGTACAACTTTTTGGAGCTATGTAGCCTTCTCCATCTGGACCATCTCCTTACTTTTTTAAGATAAATTAAACTAGCTGGATGCTACCAGCTTTTTTGATAATGATCCGTTTTCGGTTTTAGTTTATAATCTAGCAGTTTCTTAATTAGTTAAACTGATTACTTTTTATCTTTATGGATGATCCATTGCGATTAGTGAGATTCTGAATCTTCTTGCATTTTCTCCATCCCCTTCTTACCAGAATTTTTTTATTTCTTTATTTGAACGGTGCTCATGTCTCTGTCGGAGATTATCACCGTCTTCCGGTTTGCTGAAACTCCCTAAAGCCGCCTTCACAGAGTTGGTACGTGCGCGAATCCATTATCTCATCATTACCCACACGTGACGCTACTCATGTGGAAGCTATTGCCATATTAAAACGAATAAACTGCGTGCCGGTTTTAAGCTTCTCACATAACAACCACTTTTACTCTATCAGAGCTAAACGTCATCTTTTTTCTTTTTTTTGTTTGGACAAAGCTAAACTTTATCTTTGTTAACATCATTTTCTTCCAAATACCTCTTATTAGCAAAAAAATGTAATCACTCAGATAGATATTACATATTGTGTACGTATCAGATTTCATGTCTGACAAGCCACTCGGTGTAAGGGAAGTAACTCTAGAATAACAATGCTACATTACAATAATAAGTGGTGAAATATCCAATGATTAACATCATCATCATGATTCTCATATCATACTAGTTTTCACTAAGCCAATAGGTCTGGTTTTCCGACTTCCAATTCAGGCAGTTCAAATTCCTCTGGTATCAGTGACAACTCAAAGTCTGGTAGCTCTGGCAAAGACTGCATTACCCTGTGGTTAATTTTCCATATCATCAGTTTTGCTCCATCTAATATATGCTTGATTATATATTAGTATTAATTATTAACGCTTACTTTTCCTCTTCTTTAAGCAAGTATCCATACAATTGAGATGTTTTAAAAGCCATTTCTGGAATCTTCTGGCTCAGATGCTTCATAACCCCCCACATAGGAGGAGCCCTGAAAAAAAATGCTGATTCAGTTCATAGTTCTTTTGTTGAGTGAAAGTTGGATATCTATAATTAATAAACACACAAACCTGGTTATAGGAGGAGACAAACAGAAGCTAAGACAGGCCTTCTTGCTTTCTCCTAGGATTTCTGAAGCTGCGAGGAAACAACACACTGCGCTCGCGTGGCAAGATGGCTCACTTCCCTTGTCTGTTACCAGTCCATGGTAGTAGTATGCCGCAGCCTGTTGAGAAGAAAAACATAACATAACAGAGAGATGGGTTTATAATAGAACAATAGAGATCGAATTTAAATGAACTGTATGATCATTTTCCAATAACACATTAGTTTTAGCCACTAAATTTTTTGGAGACTATATATTAAGACATAAGCTCACAATTTATCAAAAAACTAAAACAAAATGTATTTGAAAGTTCTTGTAAATTTTTTATGGTCTCCAAAATCTCAGATCCGGCCTAGCTTTCATACATACCTTTGCTTCCAGAAACTTCCAAAAGATGAAGAGGAGAAGCTTTTTGGCGCACCCATGGCTGACTACATCACAACCAGACAAGCATTGATATGCCTGAAATGATAATGGGCCCATTGATAAGAAGTTAATAGAGAAAATTAACGCAAAAACCAATGACTGTCCAAAAAGCATGCCCCATGTTACCAAGGAAAAAAAAATGTATTAAAATATAAGATTAGACCTGAGAGAAATAGATGACTTGCTCACAGGCAAGTCTCCTCTTCACAGACAGTGTAGCCTTCTTGCTATTAACTGCCAATCCAAGTTGAATCTCAGTTCCCTGCAGTGAGATTCAATGAGGATAGCAAAATAAAACACATACAAGGTCTATGTTAGTAGTCATTGTTTCAAAGTGTGTAACCTGGCCAAGTGCTTGGATAGAAAGAGTTTTCAAAACACTTTCCTTCATGTCATCTGGCAACTTTTTCCTGAAAATTTTCAGCTGTGTAAGTATTTATGTGATCAGGCCTGATCCTATAGTTTCTAAATTTGTTTGTGCTTCATACTTTACATCAGGAGGAAAGCGACTCAGAATCTCACGGGTGCAGAACTCTAAGTATCCAGACGCCTTGAGCAGCAAGTCAACCGCATCTCTCTTGCAACCTGTTTTTTAAAAGTGGCAGAGTAATCAGGTTTGTAAACACACATCAAAGCAGAAGTAAAATATAAATGTGAAGATCCAAAGAGGCCAAACCACTGGAGACCACACGGACGCCATTGCCTGGACCAGAACGATTCTTTGGAATCATGAGAGAGTTAGCTTCAGCCAATGCCAACGCAGCCATCATGTGGATCACTGTCAGTATCTCCATCCAAAGGTTTGTGAAACATAACTCTTCCTGTTTTCAGGATTTGATTAATTCATAGTGCAACAGTGTTAAAGTAAAATAATTAACAAAACGAAACTTACTCTTCGACCATCTCCAAGGGTTTTCCACTTGAACTCTACACATCCCTCCATACCATCCTTCTCTACAAAGTCATATGAACATTCAGTTTTACCACACACTAATCTAGTATAACTAAATCAAAATTTTAGAACATGTACTTTTCTTGATAAGACCAGTGAGAAGAGACAGGTACTCCTCCAAAGCTACACGTATCTCAGAGATGGCAGAACCACCTGCAAATTTAAACAGAAACATGTTGAATATGATTCTCAAAATATTAACCTTTTCCTTAGAGCGCAAGTAAATGGTATAATTTATTCGATACCTGTGTCCTCAGCTACCAACTGAATCTCATTCCTTAGACATGCCAATCGATCGATGGTGGTCTTGGAAGCAACGCCTTTGAGTTGGCGCTGCAGATCAGACCGAACAGGAACACGGAGCTGTAGAACAAAAACTACTGATTCTTGAATGATACTCCTCTTGTTCTTCCTTTCTACACCAGCACAAGCAGACGTAGCACACCCCATGCTCCCTCTCTTTCTCTCTCGTTCTATGTTATGCTTTTTGGTAATAGATACTATCACCCTACACATGCGGATATATATTGGAAAAAACATTAGGTAACATATGGAGCATAAGAATGATATAAATGTAAAAACATGTGGCAGAGTATCTCAGATAGCTAACAGAAGAACAGAGGAGGCATGTGATGAGAGAAGGTTGGGGTTGAAGGTTCTAGAGGATGATGGTAGATAAGTAGGTAGAAACAGAGTTACTTATAGTTTTTGAGCGATGGATGCAATCCACCCACACGACTCCATTTTATTGCAAACTAGATTTTGACCCGCGATTAAAAGCTCGGAAATTTTTTATGATTAAAAATTTATATAATTGGGTTTTTGTCTTAATTTAAAGAATGTTTTGGTATAAAATCAGTTCAGCAAAATTTGTGGTGATGATTGTTTTTCATTAGTTTTTAGTTTCAATTTTTTTTTTTTTTGTCGACGCCCATTGTTTAAGATCAAGTGGTAGTCGGGCCTGAGTCGTTCCGAAGAGACGCTCCGTCCGGCTGGGTCTGATATATATGGGAAAAGAGAGTACCACTGCATCTCGCCTCCTTGGCGAGAGAATCCGCGTACACATTCCTGGTCATGGGTATGTGGGCGATGCTGAAAGCCGAGAATCGAACTTGTAGACGATAGAAAGCCGAGAATCGAACTTTTAGATTTTTATTTTTTGGATTTTAGTTTTTAAGTTTCTATTTTTGATTTTCAGCTTTTGGTTTGAGTTTTTAATTTTTAGATCCGCTGAGTTACTTTGAACTGATATTACCAACAAACAAATCCCAAATAATCGAACATCTAATTTAAAACTGAAAAGATGACAAAAGATTTTTTTAAAAAATTGTAAATAAACAAAAGCAAAAAATATAACCTGTGTTTTCAACTTTTGGTTTTGGATTTTAGTTTTTAGATTTAGTTTTTGGTTTTGCTTTACATATTTTTTTAAATCAGTAAATTATTTAGGAAAAATAAAACAATATATTATTTCAAAGTTACCATTGAAATTTATAAAAAAAAAGGATTATTATTTAAAATAAAAAATACATTTTCATGTTTTAAGTACATGATTTAAATAAATAATTAATAATAGACAATTTTGTTTTGTTAAAAATCTTAAATACTTTTTGGGCCTGAAAAAATAATTGAATTTTTGATCCATTAAGGTGGAAAGTTTATTCAATGTTTTTTGGAGTTTTTCTTTAATATTAAGCCCAAAAACCAAATCATATAATTTATTCTAAAAACAAAAGTAAGCCCAGACTATATCTCATAAATAACCACCGGTTTAATTTAAGTAATACGGTTCAATTAACCATATGACTTATATTATTTGTAACACTCTAGAAAATGTCCAAATTTAAATGACAACTTATATCAGTAGATAAAAAGAATGACTCTATTTTAATAGAGCAGATGGTTTGATAATATGAATTTATCTAACCAAATATATAAAGAAAAGAAACTGCACATGCCTTTTTGGTTTAGGCCAAGTTTTAGTTGTCTCTTATGGAAATAAGTGAAATTTCATTACCACTTGCCAAAATTTAACTGGCTCTTGTGTTTATTTTCTACTTCCTTCTTCGCTCATTTACTTCTTTAAGTTTCCGGCCATCTCGACTAACAGAATAAATCTCCCTTTTTTTTGAATGATTTAAAGATATGTTTGTTTAAATTAAATTTTCTTTGAAAGAGCACATTTCTCCCAGTGAAAAAACAAAAAATGTGGTCCACTGAGACTGCTAATTAGATAATCCAAGAGTTCTATTCATTAGAGAGAAACTCATCGTTGGCTTGTATAAAAACATTATCACGTTGTCAGATATGCAAGCGCTGCTGAGACAGTATTAAACGAGATAATTAACAGAAGATGATAACAATGTTAATACAATACTCCAGGGAATATCTGACTCCAGTAGATATGTTGTGTTTAAGAGCCAAAACATTTTATAGATCGTGGCAGGCGCCAGGCTGTGTGCGTTAACAACTTGCTCTATTATCCCCAGATTTAATTCCAAACGAAAATGCAATTTATTAATCACAATGGGCCTCTTATAACGGCCCATTATCAGGAAAAGAAATCAATTGGGCTCAACGTTGACTTTTTTTCCTTTCCGAGTGTGTGGTTTATATCGTCGTCGGCGAGTTCACGAGCGGAGGAAACCAATCGCAGCAGATCTGTGTGTTCGCATTTGCATACCAAAACGCCAACGAAGATCATCATCACACACCATGGCCATCCCTTTAGCTAAGCTTCTGATCTCCGCTGTGGCGGTTTTCCTCCTCGTCTCCGCTTCGTTCGCGACCTCGGAAATGCCGTTCATGGTGGTCCACAAGAAAGCTACTCTCAACAGGCTCAAATCTGGCGCCGAGCGTGTCCTCGTTTCCTTAGACATCTACAACCAAGGATCTGCGTTAGTTCTCTTTTTGATCCGTTTTAGATTTTACTTGCATGAATGGTTTAGCTACTGTAGAATTATCATTAGATCTCTTTGTATGGATGAGTGAATCAGTAGCTATTAAACGAAACGGGCATATGATCTGATTATGTTTTTGTGTGTTTGATATCAGGACGGCGTATGATGTGACTCTGGTTGATAATACGTGGGATAAGAAAACTTTTGAGGTTGTTAATGGAAACATTTCAAGATCATGGGAGAGACTTGATGCGTGAGTTCTTCTTTTTTTCTTTTAATCATTAATGCTTTTGTAGCTGCTTTTGGTTTAATGATTTATGCAATGCAGAGGAGGGATTTTGTCTCATTCTTTTGAACTTGAGGCTAAGGTTAAAGGAGTCTACCATGGTGCTCCTGCTGTTGTTACTTTCCGCATCCCCACACAGACAGCTCTTCAGGTTTTGCCTCCCTTCTATTTTCAGATGAATAAAATTAACATAAAAACCCAAACTACTTAATTTATAACAAAAAGTATCCGTCACTTCTACCACCGGGAACTGGTACTAATCTTTATAAGTGCATGAATTCAATTAATCTGTCTTATTATCAGAATGACTTAAGTCTTGTAGTGATCATTGTTTTTACTTAAAATAGTGTTCAAGTGATGTGATTATGTGTTATGGTTTTCTTGTTTGTAGCAAGCTTACTCAACTCCACTACTACCTCTAGACATTCTCGCAGTCAAACCTCCTACTAACCCGCTTGCCCTGGTAAACTTTATTTTTTTTATCGACTTTTACGACTTTTTCGTCTCGTTATTGACTCTGTTTTTGTCTCGTGTTGTGCCTTGGATGTTGTTCTTGATGCTGCTGTAATAATCTCAGGCCAAGGTAACTCAATGTGAAATTCTATCCTCCATGTGAAATTATCGGAAGCAAGTTCTAATCTTACTGTGTTTCAATTGTTGCAGAGGATTTTGGCGAAATATGGATCGCTTGTTTCAGTGATCTCGATGGTGGTTTTGTTCATATACTTGGTAGCAACACCTTCAAAGTCCAACTTAGCAAAAGCGGGCAGCAAGAAGAAGCGCTAAGTTAGTGAAATTAAGTTGAGAATGGTTGGTTGGTACGGTGCTTTTTGTGTGTTAGCAGTTAAAAACACTGTTTCAGAACTTGTAAGAATCATAGAACACACTTTCAGTTTGGGGTTGTGTTACAGAGGACTAAGTTAAAGAGTTAATTTTGTTTTTGCGTAATAACTTCTTTTTGAGAGCTTAGCCATGGAGTTTTCTCTTGGATTTTGATTCTGTTCTACTTCTTATTATTTCTGTCTGTGAAGTGGAACAGCGTCAATGGTCACTAACCAGTCTGCATATCGTAATGAAAGCTATCGTCTTTACGAACCATCGTATATTATTACTAGGAACTAGGAAGTATACAAGTTTTGTTCTTTTTTCCTGAAACAAAATTGAGTTTTTTTATTAATGAATCAACGGTCTAATTTTGGTAACTAGCAATATATGTATAGCTACTTAAATGTATAATAAGTCATTGATATAGGTACAATGATGTTGTCAACAAAGCCCGTCTAGCTCAGTTGGTAGAGCGCAAGGCTCTTAACCTTGTGGTCGTGGGTTCGAGCCCCACGGTGGGCGACATGTAAATATAATCTTTTTGTTTCCACCAGAAAATTTGGCAGAAATAGTAAAACTGTAAATTTAGGAGGGAAAAAAAGATACATTTTCCAAATGAAAATGAACAAAAGTAGTAAGTGGGTGTGCCCACTCTCCATCTTAGCTTGTGTCCTACTCATCGTTTAGGATCACATCACACAAAAATAGGGAGATAGTATTGTGAAAAAGAGAAAGCACTATTGTCAATACAAGAACACAAATTTCCAAAAAAATGAATCAAGTTGGAATCTGGAGGATGAGCTTACCCTTCCTCACTGCCATACGTTTCTCTTTATTCTTTCAAACAAAAAATCCTACGTTTTTTTAATCATCATCATTTAGTCTTAGGCTTTGGCTTCAGCTGCGATGGCAGGGACTGGAGCAACACCACCGGTGGTTGGCCTGAATCAAATTCAAAATAAATAAATGAATGTGAGTGTCTAACTCTGCACTTTTAACGAAGGTATTATTGAAGGAGTAAAAGGAGAGGAGATCTTACAGGCCAACGAACACTTTAAAAGCATCATATAAACCCCACTGTGCTCCGGTCAAAGTCCCAATCATCACAATTCTTAGAGGAAGTCCTCTTGTGAACAGTCCCACCATTCCTATCTTCTTCACCGCCTGCAGCATCATTTCATTTCATCAAAAGAATCAGTATTAAATTATTAATCCAACTGCAACACAAATCAACAGTTTCTGAATTTAAGATAGTGTGACTTACATCTCCAACGGTTGCTCCCTTGGCATTGTTGAGGAAAGAAACTAGATTGTCGGCAGGGTGGGAAACAATTGCACAGAACACTCCTGCAACATAACCTCCTGCAAAACTCACACCGAGTTGCAGACCTTTGCTGCACTCGTGTTTTGGGTTGGGGATTGCATACTTGTAGATCATCTCAACAATGGTCTCAAACGAAGCAAACTTCATCATTGTGTCTGTCACAATCAGAGATATTATCAACACAATATTGCTTGTAACGAATGACGTATTATGCTTCATGACCAAAACGAGAAAGAGAACATATACTGTTCAACAAGTTTCGAAATAGATGACAAAACTTACAAGGAATCTGACGTCCCCAAAGTGGAGCAAGACCCTTATACAAGCTGCAACGCAAAAAGAAACGAAATCAGACACACATGGCTATAGCTATAATAACAAGGGAGATAATAACGTTACTGATGTCCAATAACTCACCCTCCATATCCTTCGGATTTGACAAACTTGGGAAACCCATCAGACATCCCCCTGGCAAATCCAGGCTGTGTCTGAACCCTGACCTTAACAGCTTCAAACGGGCAAAGTGCAACATCGGCAATAATCTCAGCAGAGGCAGAACCAGCAAGGTATATGAGAGTCTTGTACTTGGCAGAAAACTCAGGTCCAGCAAGATCAGAGTAATACTTCTTAAAGAACTCGTAAAATCCAAATTTGCAGGCACCCTGAGCACTGTAACCCAACAAAGTAGGAACCCATCCACGGAAAAAGCCTTTGACTCCTTGCTCTTTCAGCAAAATCCCAAAACCAGACGAGATGCTCTTGTACTTAGCCGGATCAATCTGGTTAGCATTGTAAATAACATCAAGCGTTTACTGGCAAGATCAGTGAATCAATCCACATATACAACGTCAAGTAAAATTTAGACAGAACATACGACTTCATGTAAAATTTAGACAGAACATACGACTTCATGTAAAATTTAGACAGAACACTCAATTAAACTTAAAAGCCCTTTATCAAAAAAAAAAAAACACTCAATTAGACAGAACATACAACTTCATGTAAAATTTAGACAGAAAACTCAATTAAACTTAAAATCCCTTTATCAAAAAAAAAAAAAACACTCAATTAGACAGAACATACAACTTCATGTAAAATTTAGACAGAACACTCAATTAAACTTAAAACCCCTTTATCAAAAAAAAAAACACTCAATTAAACAGATCGAAATGTTTTGAAACAGTCATAGAAACAACAAAATTCTAAAACGCAGATCTCTAACACATGGATGAATGATAATGGATCTAAAGAGTTAGAAACAAACCTGCATATTGCACTTAACGAGATCGAGAGGAGTAACAGTCATATGAGTCAGACCACAGCTGAGAACTCCACCGAAGGTACACGCGGCGTAGAAGGCAGGCGAGTACATCTCGATCCCCTTCCCTGGCTCAGTGGGAGAAGCAATAAGGAAACTCTTCCGAGACACCATCGTCGTCGCCGGAGCAGGAGACTTCTCGAGATTGGTGGATGTGAACGCGGCGTTGGAGTTGGAGCTCAGAAGAGATCTCGGAGATGAGGATGATGAATAGAGGAAGCTCGGGATCAGAGAAGTCTTCGGCGTTTCCATCGCGACGGAGATAAGATGACAGCAAGGTGTTTTGTCGATGTCCGATCTCACGCTGCTCAAAGAAACACACCAAATGATGGTATTATTACCTCATGAATCTCGTCTCTTTATTGGGTAATAAGATTCTGTTGGAATATACTTTGGAATAATTACGACAATACCATCTATAACATATTTTTATTCTTTAAAATGTCATGGCCCATGGGCTTTTCAAAGGGACGTAAAGTTCACGCCGTGAACTCGTTGACCAATAGAAAAGGCATGTAATGATGCTTTCTAAGTTCTACTTCTTTAATTTATTTTGTTGACGAAATTTTCTAATTAGATTCCGTTGGAACAAGGCATATACTATGCACTAGTTTCTCCTTATGACACCATATACTTTTCATTAATTAATTACGATATTTTCTATTTTTTATTTGTTAAATTTATTTTGTTGTCCGTTGGAACACAAGCATATACTTTGCTTGCATTGATTAATTACGAAAATACAATTGGTAATCGTTATTTTATTTGACCAAAAAAAAAAATAGTTTACACCTGTCAAGGCCCATGGGCTTTTCAAGGGCTGCGTACACACCATTATTGACCCATTAAAAAGGCAAGTAATAACGAACATTTTCTTAAAAACCTCTTAAAAACCCTAATTCTCCTCCAGAGAAGAGAACCTCTCTCGCCGACACCGATGTAAGTCGTAGCTTAGGTTTAATTTAAAGTTGTCACTTTTGTAGTTAATCCTCACTGAAACTAGGTTTAATTTAGGCTCTAGAAACTTGGTTTCGAATCTTTACACTTAGTTCTGTTTGATGCAGCAGTGAGTTTTGTGGAACTGAGCGATGACTACGTTATCACAGAACGCTCCAACGAGCAAACCTAGAAGAGAAGAGACCGAAGATGACGACGTTAGGGCAAAGAGAAGGAAGATGGAGGAGGAGAAGCAACGAGCTTCGGAGCAGGTCGAAATGAAAAAGCTTGAGAATTTGTTGTTTGGGTCTCTTTACAACCCTGTTTCGTTTGGTGAGAAAGAAGGACACGTGGAAGCAGATGATGGGTCTGATTTGTTTCGTGTAGACCGTTCTGCTGTGAGTCAGAGTCTAGTTTCTGAAGATGATGATGATGAAGGAGTTTCTGATGATGAGAGAGTTATTAAGAAGGGAGGAGAAGCTGCTTGGGAAGATGAAGAGGAGAAGGAGATTAATATTAACATAGCTGGTGTTAACCGTTTGAGGAAGCTGAGGAAAGAGGAGGGTGAAGGGTTGATCTCTGGTTCTGAGTATATTGCTAGGCTGAGAGCTCATCATGCTAAGCTTAACCCTGGAACAGATTGGGCTAGGACTGATTCTCAGATCATTGATAGAGACTCTTCAGATGATGAGGAACGTGATGATGATGATGATGATGTACTGAAAACAAATGAAGATCTTGTGGTGAAGTCTGGTGGTTCCAAGCTGTGTTCTGGTGTTCTTGAGTATTCTAAACACGTGGATGCTAATATAGCTGATCCTTCAAACGGTCCTATTAACTCTGTTCAGTTCCATCAGAACGCTCAGCTGCTTCTCACTGCAGGGTTAGATAGGAGGTTGAGGTTTTTCCAGATTGATGGGAAGAGGAACACTAAGATACAGAGTATTTATCTAGAGGATTGTCCTATTCGGAAAGCTGCTTTCTTGCCTAATGGCTCTCAGGTTATTGTGTCAGGGAGGAGGAAGTTTTTTTACAGCTTTGATTTGGAGCATGCAAAGTTTGATAAGATTGGTCCATTGGTTGGTAGAGAGGAGAAAAGCTTGGAGCGTTTTGAGGTGTCACAAGACTCTAAGACCATAGCCTTCATGGGTAACGAAGGTTATATATTGCTTGTGTCCACAAAAACCAAAGAGCTTACGGGGACCTTGAAGATGAACGGTTCTGTGAGGTCTTTAGCGTTCAGTGATGATGGGAAGCAGCTGCTGAGCTCAGGAGGGGACGGACAAGTCTACGTATGGGATCTGAGAACAATGAAGTGTTTATACAAAGGTGTGGATGAAGGAAGCACTTGTGGAACTTCGCTTTGCAGTTCACCAAACGGAGCTTTGTTTGCCTCTGGGACAGATAGTGGGATTGTGAACATTTACAAGAAAGCTGAGTTTTTAGGAGGTAAAAGAAAGCCGATAAAGACAGTGGACAATCTCACTTCCAAGATTGATTTCATGAAGTTTAACCATGATGGTCAGATTCTAGCTGTAATCTCAAGGATGAATAAAAACAGTGTAAAGCTGGTCCATGTTCCGTCTCTAACCGTCTTCTCAAACTGGCCACCGCCAAAGAGTACGATGCATTACCCTCGCTGCTTGGACTTCAGCCCCGGAAGTGGCTTCATGGCTATGGGTAACGCTCAAGGAAAAGTTTTGCTTTACAAACTGAATCATTACATGAATGCTTGAAGTGTCTGTCCTTGGCGAGGGCAGTTTTTGAGAATGTTGTGTGTTCTTGCGTTGTCTCATTTTCACTTCTGTTATCAGTTATATCGTTTTAACATTTTTCCATCAATGGAATATTTTCTTTTATGATAATTGGTACCTGAGTGGGGCAATTCAATATCGATACTGTTTTAGTATCTAAAGTAAATGCAAGAGAAGATGAATATGTCGATTCTCATAAGTCATGAATTAAACCTGAGCTTGTCAAACAAATTAGAGAAATTTTAGAGTGTGTACGATTCTCACAATTCATGAGTCATTTACTCGACGTGTTGGAATAATAATCTAATAAGAAAGTTTTATCAAAGTAAGAACAACCAAAAAATAACAATTATTCAAAAAAAAAAAAGAACAACCAAAAAAAAAGTGAATCTACGAGTTTTTCTCTCTCTTTTAATCATAAAACTCAACTTAGGAAAACTAATAATATACTGAGAAAAACAGAACATATAAACATTATAAAATGAAAAAAAATATTTTCATCAACATATTGTTTTTAGATAAATGTAATTTAAAAAAATGACAATGAAATTATAAGAAAAAATAAAATTAAATTATTTAAAACCAAACAAAGATATCAAAAGATTTACCCTACACAAATAAAGTAGAACATATCATCACTAAAATTACTCAACAATCGACTCAAGAAATTTATTTATCGGCAACAAGACCAATGTTTGAATAACAATTAAATCGAAAAGAATGATAAAATAAAAACAACCAGTCAAGAAAATAATAATCCATAGATAATTTTTAACCAAATATTTCAAATAAAAAGTTATAAAATATACAAATTACCTTCACGAAGCACGGATCAAACCCCTCATAAATCTAATAAGAAAATTTTATTAAGTTCAAATGAATGCAATTTTTATTTATTAAAATATAGATAAAATTATCTATTAGTTATATATTAGATGAGATTATTTTGTAGCAATAAAATCTGCAATAAAAAAATTATACTTATTTTTGAATTTATTTCAGCAATTAACTAACTATTTTAGTAAAATAGATAAAATATTTTAACAAGTAATGAAATACTCAATTAATTTGTTTCATAGAATAACATTAAATATTTTAAAATTACATATTACTAATGATTGTTACTTATCAGCAACTTTGCATGAGGCCTCCGCCTATTCTCCTATTCTCCTTTTAGGTCTTTGGGTTACGAGACTGCTAGGACCCGTATTGGTCACCAGTTTTGTTGGGGTCAGTTGATCCACTTTGATGTGACTTATGCTTATCTGCATATTATAATTAGTGCACTTGAATGCGGATCCAATAGCTTCACAGTATTTCTTCCCTTACATAGACATGTAATGTTTATTGGTGTAATTATGTGTGCTCAAGTGCACGAATGAACGGAAGAATGGAATCAGGATCAGATGATGAACAGAAAGACGCCGACAAGTCAGAACAAATGGTGTGAACACGAGACGGCGACACCTCTTTGATCCATTTCATATGTTTGATTCCAATCTCTACCTCTTTCGCATCAGCCACACACTTCAGCAACACTACATGTGCACCTGTGTGGTCCAAATGTTCTCTCTCGCGCAGCAGCTGAGAAGCCTCACCAAAATGGCCTACACTCATACACCAAACGAATCAGCCCAGAAACTTGACTTGCAAGGCAATTAAAAATAACCTAAAAGACATTTGTTCTCTCACCGTTGCTGCATAGTTTTAAAACAAACGTGATCAATACCCTTCTCGCAACTGTTTTATCCTTCTCCATACACTTTCTGAAGACTTCCAAAGCATCTTCAAGTTTTGTATCCTTGCATAGACCTTCAATAAGAGACGTATAGATTGTTTCATCTGGTTCTATCTCTTTCTCAACCATCTTCTTAAACAGCCTCAACGACTCATCTACTTCCCCTTCCTCTGACAATTTCTTGATAAGTACATTATAAGTCGTCAGATTCATTCTGCATCCCTCTACGAACATCTCATCCCACAGTTTCTTCGCTGGACGGATCATTTCCTCTTTGCAACAAGCTTCAATGAGAGCGTTATAGAGTGAAACGTCTGGATCAAGCCCTTTCTTCTTCATTTCGTGCAGAGCACTGTAACCTTCTCTAACTCTCCCGGCCTTGCACAAGAACGTTATCATCAGACTGTAACTCTCAGGGTCTGAAAAATAGCCTCCGCTTGACAAAACCTCATAAGCCTTAACCAGAAGGTCGCTCTTGTCCTGCCTGCAAAGATTCTTACTCAACTTGCTCAGAGTCCGAATTGCAGGCATTTTCCCTGTGTTTACCACCATGAAATTCAAGAATCCAACAGCAGAATCTGGATCAACCGCAGAGACAGATCCGATTAACGCGTCTAAGATATCATTATCAATGGGGAAGTTTCCATTCACAATCACCTCAGCCACTTCCTTAGCCTCCATCAAACGTTTAGCAGAGATCAAATCCAATATAAATTCTCTGTAATCACTGCTCCTAGGTGCTACTCCAAGCTTTCTCTTTTTCTTCAAAACAACCCGTCTCTCATACAGATTCCCAGTCACTACAAACGCTTCAGACACGACTCTATAAGCCATAAAATCCGGTTTGCAATCAATGTTTCTCAGCTCTTCCAAAATATAAAAAGCATCCATCTCTCTCGAACATTTACAAAGACCATGAAGAATCAAAAGCGCAATAATGGATCCATTGATGTTAAAGTTACTCTTTTTAACCTCACCCACAAGTCTCAAGAGCTCACCCGTATCACAACTTCTACAAAAGCTTCCTATATACACACCAAATCCAAGTGTATTGAAAGATAAACCTCTCTCACGCATTTTAACGAACAGTTTCTGCGCATAATCAAAACACCCATCAGACGTTAACGCAGCCAATAGACGGTTACACACATCGTGATTCATCTCCTGACCCGTCGAGAGAGCTTCTTCCAAAACCCAAAACGCGCTCTGAGCTTTCTTCCCTAATATAAGCGCGTCGATGAGGGAGCGATACACTGAGGAATCGAGGAGGATTCTCTGGGTTTTGACCTGTTTGAAGAGAGCGTCCATTGCGGAGAATTGACGAGAGAGGGAGAGGGTTTTGAAGATGGAGTGGTAAGAGATGGAGTCGTGGGTGTAACCGGGTTGCTGGGCGGCCCAATTGAAGAACCCGAGAGCTAAGGAATGGTGGTTTAGGAGGAAAGGGTCGATGACTCGAGAGACGAGAGTAGGGCTTATTGAGTGACGGAAGCCGAGACTGTGGAGAGTATGTTCCATCGTTGGAGTCCATGTCCGAGAGGTTGAAGAGACCTTGAGAAGCTCGCGGCCGATCCTGTTAGCAAGCTCCGCCGCAGGTCTCATGGTGGATGACGTCACCATTTCCGGTGGCTGACAAAGTTGGAGAGGAAGAGAAGAAGAATCAGATATTACTTACTGAAGCCCATTAGTTAGAAGTAAAACTCATAGTAGCCCATATTTGGCCCATATAAGATTAAAAATCACCGTGAAATGCCTGTAAAAGTAATTACAGAGAGAAGTTTTACTTTTTCGGGGTAGAAAAGTTAAAAAAAATGACAAACTTGCGTGACCCAGTTAAACCGAATTAATAAGTTATATTCTGAGGGAGGATTGGTTGTGGCCGTAGATATTCACAGTCAAAATTTAATCTGGAAACATATATATCAGCCAATCAAGCTTTCTTTTTTTTAAAAAAAAACCTACAGCCAAAAATCTCTAAAAGGGTAATAAGTGATTATAGAAAGTTCTATTTCTAGAGAAAAAAATAGTGCTTTAAAAAGCTACAACAAAATAATTTACAACAAATAAATTTCCCACTATCAAAATCAAATCATTTTTGTATAACTTGGCAGCTTGGGGTAGGAGTGGGACTCATGACGCACTACTAACTGATGAAGACAGTAGAGAAAAAATAATAGAAAAAAACGATTATATTTTTAATGGTTCATCTCTTTATATCTTTTCTTTAGAAAATAGTATAGACCATCATCTACTTGGGAACAAAGGAAAGTGATACTGTTGGGTATTACCGTATTATACACGAAAAGAAGATATGATTGCGGAACAAGAAGAGAAACTAACAAAGAAGAGTATTGGCTTATCTGAATGTCCACGTGAATTTTATGTCCATCACATTCTCTAAGAAATATACAAATAATATAATGGAGTGGGAGCAGTGGAAGTGACTCAAGATTGCAAAAATTAGCATTTGTAAGTTTGTTTAATTCTGGAACAAAAGTGTACTGCTTCCCTCTTGGTCCCATACCCATAACTAACTACTTCTGTTTGTTCTTTTCTTTCACCCCTAGATGCTCCTTTCCTCTTTTGATCCTACTTATTTGCTTTCCCATTTGAATTTTGTTCCCTCATCATTGTCTATTTGTCTTTGTTCCCCTCTAATCTTAATCAAATCAATTCTACTCTAATCTAATCTAATCTAATCTATCTAATCTACATTGACTGTCTCTGCTGTTTCACACAGACGCCTAGGTGTTCACGATCCAGTTTTTAGCTAGTTCCTACTTGATCTACCAAAACAATGTGCTTCTATTGGTTTGATTAAGATTAGAGGGGAACAAACACGAATAGACAATGATGAGGGGACAAAATGCAAATGGGAAAGCCTACGTTCACGGTCCAATTTCTAGCAAGTTCCTACTTGATCTACCAAAATAATGTGCTTCTACGGCTAAGGAAACGTGTATAGGATATTTAATAAAGGAAAACAGTCCCATTACATTAATTACCAGTTGTGATATTACGACGCAACAAAACACTGCAGAAGAAATACAGTGCCTGATGTCGTGGACGGCTTCAGTTGTCTGAATCAACTTGTACGAAAAGCTGTCGTTGTTGTTCTGTCACGGAGCTTCCATAGGCTTCCTGAAAAAGACACTCTTTCTTTACTTTTCATCTATATGCCTTTTCTTCTTGGCAGAGACAGCCAAGTCAACAAAAGCAGAACGAAACAATTTTTTTTTTCATTGGAAACTATTTTAACATAATGCAGTTTCAAATCACTCTAAGTGAAAAAGGAGCCAGCATTGATTCTTCTTTCAAATAAAACTAAACTAGTCTCTCTGGAAAGCAGCACAGTGTACAACAAAGTTTACTGTTCTTCTCTAACTAACTAACACAGAAGAGTTTGTACTATCCAGTCGCGTTGGCTATATATCTAAATTACAAACAGAATGCATACTCCCTTCTAGCATTATACATGGGGTGGTTTGATAATTTTATCAAACTTTGCAACAAATAATTTCTACAAAACACAAAGCAACAGAAATATTCATTTTGCATCCACTATTTATATATAGCTTGTTAACATAATATTGATGGCTCATGAACGCCACACAAAAAATCCAGAACGTTTTTTATGATATAGAAACTCAATTCAAGATCAAATTGTAATACCTGAGATGATAGATGATTGTAATTACGGATAGCTACTCCAATAAATTTCCATGTAATGTAACCTTAACAGTAGCCTCACGTCTGTAATGGGCCTCCAACTTGTTCTTGATGTGATCTTGAAAGAGAACGGCCAACCAAAATTTTGTAGCTTTCTTGGTGTTGGTCTCCACTGTCATCAACCTAAAAGTCTTGAGTTACTGTTTAGCAACCAACTCACTACTATATCATAAGGTTTCAAGGCAATCATGGTTCTCTATAAAAGTCACTTTCTCCTCTAAATCGTCTGTTAAAACGAAAATGAAGGTACGTTCTATATATCTATATCTACAAAAATATCAACTAAATTGTAGCCAAGACTTACCCATGCTTATTTTTCTGACAGTTTTGGGGCTGGATGCATCATAAGTTACGGGATAATAGCAAAGAGCTACTGAAAGATGCTACAACTGGTAACTAAACCTTACTTCACTACTTATTTTCCTGTCAAATGTGTGGGAACAAGAATAGGAAGCGTGTTGAATTCTAGGAGACTAGCAATAGGACTTAGCAAGCACTTTAGGGCCTAGACATTTTCCTGTCTCGTTACAAAATTAAACAACTGACCTGATAAAGACTAGGGTCATGTGCTCGTGTACGTAGAGCATTGTGATGGGAGTCAAACCTGAAATAAAAACTCACCTACTCAATTAGCCTGACACCGACTTTGTCTTGAGCATCGAATTCGTGAGTAAGAGCAGCTAAACAAGATCTCTCGCTAGCGATGCCTCTACCTGTCTACTGCAACAAGTCGAGACTTCCCCTATGCATGCGAAAATGCATTATCTTTTTTCCCTCAGTAGCTGTCATCACTTTTCCGGAAGAAAATTAACAACTCTCATCTTCACATGTAAATCCTTTTCAGGTAACAGTCATTTCCCCCTTTCAGCTCATCCGTCCCTTGATAGCCAAGATGTTTATGGTGGAGCAAGTGCTGGCCCCAGATACAGTACTGGAATCAGCAAACAATTTAATCTGTTCCAGGAAAGCTCCTTCGCAGTACCCAGGGAAAGTACAGAAACCAAGGAAACGAGAAACAGTGATTATTTTCATGGATTTCTTGCCATTGGAACCCTTGGTGGAGAAACATTTCTGGACGAACCAGGAACACCGACATTTGGCATGTCATCTGGGGACCAGGCAACAGATAATGCAGAAGTGACAGAGAATGATCTGAAGCTCATTAGCAATGAACTGGAGAAGTTCCTTGAGGCTGAAGCTAAAGAAGGACACGACCAACCATCAGGAAGGAACAGCGACACTAATACTATTGCATCCACCATTGAGGCCGCTGAGGGAGAAGATGCTGTAGAAGATAATCAGCCAATGAAGTTCCCGCTCCAGGATTATCTTTTTGGTTCTCAAATCGAATTATCAGAAACAAAGGTTGCAGGGAAGAAAGAACGGGCATCACTTGGAGAACTGTTTCAGGCAACAGAAATGCAAGATAAGCATTCAGAAAACAAGTATGAGGAGAAAAAGAAGCAAACCAGTTCAACTCACAAGTCTGCAAAGCGTTTTGTGAAGAAGATATTGAAAAAGCTACACCCATCCTCCAACAGCCCTGACACTGGTAAAACTGAAGTACTGTCCACAAAGAAGAAGTTCCAAAAGGTGTGAATTTTTTCTGCTCAGTTTTTCCAGAGCCTATTAGCGTGATACATGCAACATCTTGAAATATACACCCAACTTCAGATGATTAATACAAAGCTTCTAACAAACTTGATATTTTGTGAGTGCAGATGGCACAAGTTTTCCATAGGAAAGTATATCCAGAAGACTCCAGAATGGAAACCAAAGTATACAGCAGCATGACAGAACGAAAAAACAGCAAAGCAAATTCTACTGGAATAATGTACAAGAAGGTGAGCCCATGTCACAAGACAAGTAAAAGATGGGTCCAGTATGAGTTAAAAAATTCCCATTCATCTGGAAACGGAGAACACTGGATCAGAACAGACGAAGACTGTAAGTGCAACATCATACCCAACTAATTGATATATTTGCATAAGCCCATTTATTTCAAAGTAAGAATGTGATTCTATATTTTCAAGAATATTTAGGATCTTTACTGGAAGAAAACAGATTTCTGATACATTGGCAATTTAGGCATGCACTAGTTTTCTGCTTGTGGTCGAACCAGATAATAATCCAGAATTGCTTTGCAGACTTGGTGTTGGAGCTGTAGAAAAGGGATGAGAAGAAAAACGCAAATTAAAAAGTGCGAGTGTAATATGTCATTTCATGCATGTGTGAATCGTGTGGTGTGGTTATGTAAAATGTGTTCAAGACTTAGCGGGAATGTTCCTAACGCCCTTCTATGTAATAAAAAATATTCACCGGGTTTTATAATTGCAGCAAGATACTAAAATGAAGAGAGAACATTCTTGCCAGCATAGATTCAAATCCAGTTGTTTGTTTTGATCTCATAACTGAAACACTATCTCTCTCTCTACTGATAAACCATATCATGTCATTAATATCCTAAACAAATGAACGAGCGGCTATCTCGAAACTTCATGCAATAATAAATGTATTTATGCCTGGTAAAAGCCGAACCTGGAATGGACCTTCGGCAATAATGAATATCAAACTAAACTGGTGGACGGTCTGCAACAAGAACACCACCTGATTCCATTCTCCATGACTGGTCGACCAAGGTTGCTAACTCTCTGCAGAAATATTTTATACAATAAGCGAGAGAGGTGAAACGCAGTAGCTGCTAATGTTTTAAGGAAAAAAATTGAATTTATGGCTATTAAAAGAGCTCAAACTGTTTTACGTTTAAACAGTCCGTAACTAATACTTGAAAGAAAAGAAAAAAATCTGGGAGAGGACTGTATAACAATAGCTCAAACACCGAAGCGAAGGCGCAATCTTCATGAGAAAAATTAAAAGAAAGTGTGCAAGCGAAGAGAGAAAAACTGAGCATACCTAAGGTCATGACTTACAACAAGTAAAGTTAGTTCCTTCTTTAGGTGCTTCAAGAGCTTGGCAACATCTGCACGTGCTTTCCAATCTGATTGCACAGAAATGAAGATCATATTTAAAAAAATCTGTACAGAACGACAAGCAGAAACACACAAGAGAGAGAAGAAGCAGGATCCATCATACCAAGACCAGCAAGGGGCTCATCCAGAATCAATAAATCAGGAGTTTGCACCTACAAAAAGCATGAATACTTAGGAACAGGTCAATTTTTGCATACGTATTAAAAAACATGTAGTCTCACCAATTGAATAGCTAGTGCAAGCCGACGCTTGTAGCCTCCACTTAGTAACTGTGGGTCTTTATCAAGCGGGATGCTGTCTAGACCAACCTAACAATTCAAGAGGAAAGCAACTATAAGAGAGAATCATTAGACACAATATGACCCAACTACTAGACAGGGAGGAGTGGGATACCCAATTAAATGCTCTCTGGAGGTTCGAAGTCAGATGCTCCTTTAACTGCAAACTACCCTTTTGCCTTGGCCAACCAAAAGTAATCTCGTCAAGCACATTATCTGCAACAAAGAATCTGGCCACAACAAGAAAAAATATTAACACATGAATAAGATCAAGCAAAAGGTGATAATAACTATTAGTTACCTCTCTGGAAACTGGAAAACAATGCCAACTTTTTCAGTGGGCAACAGCTCAGGATCCTCCTTCGGCTGGCCATCATCCCCATACCGTTGGATACAAATGGAACCTGATGTAGGTTTGTTCAGCCCAGCAAGAAGCTGCAGAAGACAAAAAGGTAAAAAAAAACAAACGTTATAAAGACTAAAAACTCAAAGAACAGCGCCTCAAAGCTGTGTGTGATCAAGATACTCTTGAAAAAAAAAACAAAGAACCTGCAAAAGTGTAGTTTTACCGCTCCCACTCTTGCCAAAAATCAAACCAAAGCTGCAGCAAATAGAATAGACACGCAAAACTATTTAGTAGGCATGTGGAAAGAAATTAAAAATAGGTCCAAGGAAACAGCCACGGGAACTTAATACCTCTTCTCACGGAGAGAGAGATTAACACCATTCAAAATATTCAACTCTGTTCCAGGTGGACGGTAGCATATATCCCTAACCTTCAAAATTCAATTAATCACAAATCAAACGACTTAGAATAATGTTAAATAACTGTAACAACGACATTCACTGAAAACGAAAGAATCATCATCATCATCATCATCTTGAGCAGAGTTACGAATAACAATGAGTAAAGAAAGGAAAAAAACTACCTCGAGGCATGAATAATCGCAAGAGATTACCCTAGGCTTCGTCCTCCTTCTAAATCTCAACCTGTCAGAAAATCCACCAAACCAAAAACACAGTGAGAAAATCAAAGTAGTGGAGATAAAGCGGGGCGAATTGGCGTACGCTGGTGGTTCACTGATACGGAAGAGAGGCGTGGAGCTCGAAACCGTCGACAGTAACATGGTCCCACTCACTGTACAAAGCTCCGCTACGATCGGAAAAAAAAAAAATATTGGCGGAAAATCTCAGTTCCGGTGAGTGTTTGTGTTACTTTTTTACCCTCGTGTGCAGTGGATGGGTAAATAGACGCTTGGGCTTTTGAGGAAATTTTATTTTGTTTCAACAGTCTGCATTGTTGGGCCTTCACAACAAAAAGGCCCATTATTATGCCGGCTCTTTCTTAAAAGATTTGTAAGCTTTATTTTGGTAAGTATTAGACCATCATTAACTTCAGTTTGAGACAGCTTTTAGTTTTTTATTTTAAATTAAATTAAGAAAAAAAATCTAAAAATTTTAAATAAAAGATATAATAGTCATTTCTTAGCTAAAAACTGATAATTTTTATTTTTGTTTTTGTCAAATCATAAATTAATATTTTTTGCTAAGAGACCGGAGTTAATCCTACTTTAGGGATAAAAGTCACAAGGGTGATAAGAAAATATGCAATTACTGCTGCAAAACGAGTACATGTTTAATCGAACTTCAGATACGTTGTATAAAGAACAATCCCTTGTAATATTATTCTGTTTCATTCACTTTCCAATAGTGTGCTCAAAACGTTAACAGGTGAGAGACATGGAGACAAGAAAACCAACATAAAAATTTCACAGCTAAGTAGACAACAATGGTTTTGAAACCAAAGTCGTAAATCCACAACTCTTAACAAAAAAAAAGAAACCTTCGTGTATACAGAAAAGCACAAAAACAAACTAGTTCTTGTCTTTTGGAATGTCTTTCTCCGGAACCTTGGTTTCAATTTCCTTTGGTTTTATCGACTGACCTGCCCTGAAAAAAAACCACAATCAAACTCATGAGTTACACATCATTGATCAACCACACTCCTATTATACAGCACCTAAAAGGCATTGACATCATCAAGTCACTACACTAATCTTTTTTTTTTCTATTTTTCTCAAGTTACCAGATACATACAACTGATGATCACCAGAGAAACTACAGTTTCGTTTGACTTATCTGACTGAAGAACTTGGATAAAAATTCAATCAAAGATCACTTCAAATTCTAGTAGCTGCGGATGATTACAATTACGGAACACATGATCATATTCATCATATATTACAAAATCATAATCCCTAAACAAACACCTTCGTGAAAGGAAAAATAATAAAAAAAGGAATAATGATGGAGAGAAAGAGGGCTAACTTGGAGGCGGCGGAAGATTCTTCTTCGAGCCAGTTGCGGATGTGTTTGACGTTGCGCCTGAAGACGGTGGCAGATTGCTTCACGTCTCCCTTCATTAGCATCACAACGGCGCCTACTCCCGCCACCGTCAGTATGAAATTCGTCAAACCCATTACAGTTTTTCGATTCCCCAAAACAAAAAATCAGATTCGAAGATCGCAGATCAGTGGACGCTAGGGATTTAGAGAGGAGGAGGGTTTATGTTATTTTACTCGCTTTCTATGGGCCGCGTTTTAAAATTATGTGGACCATTTCAGATTGTTAAAAAGCCCAAATATCCAGCCCATTTTCTCCTTTTGAACACCACTTACATGGTGATGTAGAGTTCAAAATTAACACCACAACTTGATAATGATCTACTATTACATGTGACGTGACGATAACTTGTTCCGATGGAGTGCGAGTTTGTGGCGAGAGGTACTTATCAGTTTTCTTATATATTGCTTCTCCATAAAGATATATCGGTCATATATTCATATGTTGTTTTCAATTTTTCATCAAGTTGTAAAGTCAAATACTATAAACCTTAAATATTATAATATTTTGTTTATTAGCCTACGAGAACGGAATATCCGTAGTTATTTCTATATTTAGATTCTAATTTATGAAAAAAAGAAAAGTCTATCTCATCTATGCATATATAATTAAGAAAGTACAAATAAAACAACAAAGAAGAGAACGTTCAATGGGAATTAGAAATCAAAGCTGATGAAAACAATAACAAAAAAAAAAGATTAGGATATATAAAATTAAGGATGCAGCTAGCCTTGAGGGACACTGCATTAATGTTAAATTTTGATTAGGAAGCGTATATGTGGATATGAAGAGCGATAAGGGAGACTGTGATGCATGCAAAGAAGATGAGAGTGTGAAGGACTATAGCTGCGCCGCTTGTCTGAAATCCGCCAAACTCAACCACTTTGGTCTTCCCCGGAAACTGAAACAATACTCCGGGAGTCAATACGATGAACAGAACCACCGACATTAACACTGGTCCCCAGTTCAACCCCATTGTCTCGATATAGAGAAACAATCCGGGTGATGCGTATGCTGATTTTACGAGTTTATTGTAAAAACTATAGGCTAGAGGTAGTGTACGTATGTTATTTTATAGGATGCTTGAGTCAAGAATATTGAGATCGTAATGAAACATTAGCTTGAACCAAACGAAATTAGAAGTTTGCAAGGTGAAGAAAAGAACTATTCTCTGTAGCTACCGGTAGTATCAAAACTATATATTATACTATTGTCACACCATGTATTGATTGTTGGGTATGCTAAGAATCTGATTCGATCTCGTGTGTATGTAGTATCTCTTGTTTTTTCTTTCTGTTTTGTTAGAAGAGACAATTTGCCTATTTTTCTTTTGTTGCAAGAGACATTTGGCCTTTGAGCATTGAGTTTCTGTCTTTATCAATAAATTTATAGTTAGTAAACCCCTATAAATGTCTAGAAGGGTAGTTTCTAAATAGCGGTTACTCCTGCCTCATTTTGATTACAACATCAAATGGACAAGTTGACAGTTGTTCGAATTTTTAGGATAAAATCATTTCTTGTCCATATAAATTGATAACTTATCCATATCTGAGTCAAGTCGCTCATATATGTATTTTATTACGCAAGTTAAATGAATTTGTTTCTTTCATTTGTTGGGAATATTCAATAGCATGTTGGACTAATCTAAATACACGTATATATTTCTCTCATATAAATACACGTGAAAACGACTCTTCACCCAATTATTGATTTGCAAATACGGTTCTTGACAAGAAAAAAAAGCAAGTGTATGACCAAGTAAACCAATCATATTCTTTACTTGTTGTAATGCCAAAAAGAAAAACAGTCTCGTGCTCTGTTGCAAAAAAAGAAATTAGACATGCATGCAAGTTGCATTCATATATATTAAAACTACTGGAAACATAAGACATGCAAGTTGCGTTCATATCGATTAAAGCTACTGGAAACATTAAAAGAAGACATGCAAGCTGTGTATTGTATAGAGTATAGACATTATATACTAATCAAGTTTTATTTTGTTTTACAGCATCTTTTACGTGGTTAAAAGGTGAGCGACTGAGCGGTTACCACCACACTAAGAGCATGTCATTAGGGGTTTTTAAAGGGGTTCACACGTTTTTCGAGGAGAAAATTGGTGAATCCGGATCGCGTGAATTCGTCGTGGTGAACCCGGATCGTCACGGATTCGCCACGTGGCGGACCGTGATTCGCTGAATTTTTTTTGTTCCTGAAAAAGTCAAAAAAAAAAAAAAAATTAAAACTAACTTAAGATTTCGTGCCTGACCAATATCATTGATGAGCATGCTCTAATATCCCGTCGATTACAACCGTGTAAAAAGACAAAAAACAAACAGCATTTTTTTTATAATGGTAAATTTATGATCTTGATCTAAATAATGACACCAGTCACACCATATCATCCATTTGTATATTCTTCTGATTGTTTTTTTTTTTAGTTATACGATGTATTCCTTCATTAATGTAGCAGATATTTACAACTCATTGACAGGAGGAATACAGTACTTTCAGATTTTTTTTTCACATTTATATCGTTTCTTATTACGTCCTCTGATCCCAGCCAGAAAAAAATATAATTGCGATAAAGATTGAATTCAACTTATTAGTTGGTACTGACAATGACGTTAAAGCAATTACTTTTCAAGCATTCACTAATGCTAGCTTTCATCATTTCAAATTACTGTATCAATAATCGTTAATTATAGTGTTTTTGCTAAAAGTATCCAGCAAAAGACACACGAGAGTAAAACAATAGTATAATCACTCTTAATTATTTTATTTTATTTTCTTAATCACTCTTAATTAAAAAAAGACTCAACTGCAAGTGGTAGATGGCAAGCACGCACTGGGCATTGAAGTGTAAACGTGACCAAATCACACAACAAATCTCAATAGACTGTTCATAAATATCATCGAGCCTTTTGTTCTACAATTTCTACACGTATTCTTCCTAATTAGTAGATCTGTGTACTTATAAGTTTTAATCATATTAATTACTACTAATCAACAAACTTGATCACTCTTTTTACAGGCGTGCTCTATTTTACAATCTAAACGATCTCCTTCTTACAGTGTCAATGTCTGGTTGCCTTTTTTTTTATAATTTAAAACTATAAAAGCGATAAAACCGTATCTAAAAGACATACAGATAGACAAACAATCAGACACCCCAAAAAAAAAAAAAACCTTTTTTCTTGGTTTTAAAGACAGACAATATTTCACCGATCTGTCCTTTTGATCTGATTCTTCTTCAATGGCGTTAACTCGAGAAAAGTTTGTATCTTTCATTAACAACAGATGGCTTGTCTTCGTTGCCGCCATGTGGATACAGTCTTGCGCTGGTATTGGTTACTTGTTCGGAAGCATTTCTCCGGTCATCAAAAGCTCCCTTAACTATAACCAGAAGGAGCTTGCTAGACTCGGTGTAGCCAAGGATCTTGGTGACAGTGTGGGCTTCATCGCCGGGTATCTCTCGGAGATGTTGCCTCTCTGGGCTGCTCTTCTCGTCGGCGCTGTTCAGAACCTCGTTGGTTACGGATGGGTTTGGCTTATCGTCACTGGACGAGCTCCGGTTCTGCCTCTATGGGCTGTGAGTTATCTGAAACCATCTGATTTGTTCTGTTTCACTTTTACTGTTTTCTTTAGATTCATATCTGTTTATGTTTTTAATTGAGTACTAAAAAAATTTGGAGACTTATTATCAGTTCAGGTAGTGTTGTGGAAGAATCTCGGAAATTATATGCTTTTAAGGTTGTTTGGTTATTCATAAGTCACTGTCAAATCTATGAAAGTTTCACTTTTTTTTTACTTTCTCATCTATTGCTCTGCTTTCTTTGGAATTGCTCTGTTTCTGTGGAAAGCTTTTGACTTTTCCTATGATGAATGTAGTAAAAGTGTTAAGAGGGTGTTTGAGGATTAGTATATTCTGTTGTCAAATGCATGAAAGTTTCACTCTTTTTTATTTTCTCATCTCTTGTTCTGATTTCTTTGGAACTGCTCTGTTTCTGGGAAAAGCTACTGACTTATCTCATGATGAATGTAGTAGATTGGCTATATTCTGTAGTGCTGACACAAACCTCTTCTTGTATGTTTTCAGATGTGCATTCTCATATTCGTTGGGAACAATGGAGAAACCTACTTCAACACGGCGTCACTAGTCTCTGGTGTTCAAAACTTCCCCAAGAGCAGAGGTCCAGTGGTTGGTATCCTCAAAGGTTTTGCTGGGCTTGGAGGTGCAATGCTCTCTCAGATATATACAATGATCAACTCTCCTGACCCTGCTACACTCATTTTCATGGTAGCTGTTGCCCCTGCGGTTGTTGCTGTTTCGTTAATGTTCTTCATCAGACCCGTTGGTGGTCACAGGCAGATTCGTCCAACAGATGGAGTTAGCTTTACTTTCATCTACGGCGTTTGCATTCTCCTCGCTGTCTATCTCATGGCCGTTATGCTTATTGAAGACCTTGTCGTTGTTAGCCTCAACGTCGTCACCGCTTTCACAATTGTGTTGTTTTTCATTCTTCTTTCACCAGTCTTGGTACCAATCATGACGAGTTTCTTCACTGATTCAAACGGTCCTTCTGATACAATAGAAGAACCTCTTGTACCTAAACAGGAAGACCAAGATCCAGGACTCCGGACACCTGACTTAATCTTGAGTGAAGTGGAAGATGAGAAACCAAGAGATGTTGATTTACTTCCTGCATCAGAAAGGCATAAGAGAATTGCTCATTTGCAAGCACAGCTAATGCAGGTAAGGCTGGTCCTTTTTATCCGTTAAATTTGATTCGATTTGTTATTCGTTTTGATATTAGATCCGTGTCCACCCCTAAAATGTAATGCAGGCAGCTGCGGAGGGAGCGGTCCGGGTGAAGGGACGTAGAGGGCCACATAGAGGTGAAGATTTTACTCTAACGCAGGCACTAGTGAAGGCCGACTTCTGGCTGATTTTCTTCTCTCTTCTCCTCGGTGGTGGTTCCGGTTTGACTGTAATTGACAATCTTGGTCAGATGAGTCAGTCTCTTGGTTATGACAACACTCACGTCTTTGTGTCTATGATTAGCATTTGGAACTTCCTTGGTCGTGTCTGCGGCGGTTACTTATCCGAGCTCGTTGTCAGGTTTGTTGTCAATTTGTTCAAGTGGAGCTGAAAAAAAAAAGTTAATTCTAAAAACAACAAATATAAATTATGGTCTAAAGTTTAATTTTTTAAATATACTGCTAAATTTAAATCTTGAATTTTTAAAATGTTAAATATATATAAATAGATATATAAACTTTTAAAACTATTTTGTTACATGTTAAATCTACCATTAATATTATTTATTTTGAACATGGCCTAAAACTATTTTGTTGTGATCTGCTTATTTACATCTGATTATTATCCTCTGTTTCTGAATTTTGATTCTAAATGATGTTACAGGGACTATGCATACCCAAGGCCTGTAGCAATGGCCGTGGCTCAGATAATAATGGCCGTGGGACATATTTGTTTCGCCTTCGGATGGCCTGGAGCTATGTACATTGGCACACTCTTGATAGGACTCGGCTACGGTGCTCACTGGGCTATTGTCCCAGCCACAGCCTCTGAGCTCTTTGGTCTAAAGAAGTTTGGAGCTCTATACAATTTCTTGACCCTGGCCCTTCCCGTCGGGTCCTTCGTCTTCTCGGGTATGATTGCGAGCAGCATATACGACATGGAAGCTGAAAGACAAGCACACGGTTCTGTTTTTAATCCAGATGATGTCCTTAAATGCGAAGGTGCAATATGTTACTTCTTGACGTCGCTCATAATGTCTGGCTTCTGCATCATCGCTTGTATCTTGAGTATGATTCTCGTGCGTCGTACCAAGTCTGTCTACACTCAGCTCTATGGCAAGACCCGAGGTTAATCTGTTCCTTCGGCTTCTTATATTCATTGGTTTTGTCTTGCCGATACAGAAGTTTTTGCTCTGTATCGATTTTTTTTGTTGTTGTTATTGTTTGTACGTTTCTTGGATTCATATATTCACGGCACACACACTACGATTTGTAGATTTACATAAAAAAGATCTATAGAATAAATGTAATTATGGATTATGACACTTTTTTATAGTGTCTGTGTTTGTTGGTTTAAGTTTTTGCACACAGATTAAAAAATTATTTAATTTTATATATTATTGATATAAAAATATATTTATCTATGCATCTAACCAGTTTTTAACTAATATAAAAATAGAATAACAAATAAAGTTAATAAATTATGTATTAAATTATAAAATACATTTATTTTTAAACTAAAATTTTACTCTACAACAACGAGTGAAACAACAAGTGAATCGAAACGGATGGAGTATATATAAAGTTTAGTTAAACGCAGAGCAGTCTTTTCGAATCTCTCCTTGTTTACCAACTTTAACACCAACGCGGCCGAGTTTCCTCATAGCTGAAGTGAAAGCTTTGTTAAATTCTTCAGCATTGTTTGCAAACTTGACCACCGTTGACTTAGACCTCAAGTCGTTAAACAGAACTTGGTCGGAGGTGAAGAGTCCTTTTCTAGCTACGAGGTTCTGAAAGTAGGCGTTGTCGAAAACATCTGGGGAGATAATATCAAGATTCGAGACGCTGCGGGGATCCGACCCGACTCTAGGGCAGGACTTTATCAGCTCTTGCGCGTAGGATGGATCTAGAGTCGGGTCTAACGGCATGAGGGATGAGAAGTTGTATAGACGGTGAGCAAAACGGTTGCAGTGAGAGAATCCTATTGTGTGTGCGCCTGAGAGAGCAATCATATCGGTTAATGAAAGACCGTTTCTAGCGAATAGATTGACTAAACCGGTTACGTCTAGGTCTGGTCCAGGTAACTTCCCGTCTACACCAGAGGCTTTTGACACGAGACCGTCTCGTCTTCCTAGCTCCACTTTAAACCGTGGTCCACCAGCCTAACGATATCATTTAATTAGTGATCGTTTAATGAAGAGTCAATGAGTAGAGTTGACTTACGAGAACAACAACGTCTCTGGCTGCAAGAGCGAGAACATCAGCACATGAAACAAGACCAGGACATTTAGCTTCGACAGCGAGTTTAGCCTTAATCACTGTGTCGAATCCGTCTCCAGCGAGTGAGATATTGTCAGGAGCATCTTTCTCCGCGTCTCCATTTTCAGATGCTATTAACATAGAAGCATCACATCCCTACACAGTCATCACCAACCCACATGAACAACAATACCAAAAAAAAAAAGAAACACAAGCAAAGTTTCAAGAAGTCTACGTACACCAACGAAACAGTCGTGAAAGAACATGCGTAACGTTGCTGGAGCCGTGGTGGGTGTTTGTTGGTACTTTGTTGTAACAGCCTTGCGAACGATGAGCTCCAAGTTAGGGCATTTCGAGGCGTAGAAATTCTCAGACAATTGAGCATCTGAAGCGGCTACCATGCAGAAGAACAACATCCCTAACAAGAACCACATCATCATGTGTTTTCTTGAATCACGACCAGTGTACATCCTCTCAATAAAGGACCACAACAATCTGTTTCGTCGACCCTTTGATATGCCACCAGCTATATGTATAGCCAATTGTGTAGAATAGAAGTGTTTTATGTGTGTTAATGGCAAAAGTCACATTCAAAAGATGAAATGCCAAGAGTTTTACAACTGTGATCTTCTTTACTTAAGTGAGGACATTTCTTGAGTTATGGGGTTTTTATTGAGAGTGACATTTAAACTAACCTCATTAGGTCAGTCATCTGCATGTAAACTTTAGAATAATAGTATCGTTTTGATTACATGTAAAATTATCGCTAACTAATATTATTGTCGTTAAATACCAAATGATAAACTAATCCAAAAGATGAGTTTGAAAAAGTAATCTTTTTTCCATTCTAATATGATAATGACTTTTGACTAATCCTTGAATTCAGTGTAATACACCTGTTGTAGTTTGGTTCATCACACTTTAACTCAACGGTTCTAATTTTAAAGCCGATATTTTTCAAATAAACACATTTAATATAACCAGTTTTCATTATTTTCATCACTGCTTTCTTTGCGTATGATGATTTAACTTTATCATTATCAGAAGTCAGAACCGACAGTAATAGTTCTGTTTTCTTGATGATTACTAACAAATGAATATTCATATCGCTGATGGTTGAAGTGTTATTTTCCACACACAGAGAATCAAATAACGTTAGCGTGCTGAGTGGAGACGTTTCTATGTTTGATCATTCCAATTTTTAACGACAAATAAGAAAACTATATCTGAGCTCACTGTAGTTGACCGACACATGCGTACATCTACAAACACATGAGAAGAGCTTATTAACATGTGATTATGATGTGCGATTACAATTGATTATATCTTCAAAGCATGTGTAAGTTTAGCTAATTTATGTTGTTCAGACCAGCTACATATAGTTTGCCTATTGACCAGCGACAAAGCTTAAACACACTCTGCGTTAGAGTTTGGTTTGTTTTATCATGCAAACACAGTGGTATGATAAGATTATATATATTAGTTCCGCATAATTTATCAAAAATATAACTAATAATCAATTAAAGCAAAAGCTACAATCCAAATCTAAATTATTAAGTACTAAGGTTTCACCATACATGAAATTACAATAGACCAAATTGCTCCTACACCATTTCTTCTTCTCTTGACTTGATGGTAAGGTACCTGCAAGATAAGATACTCACCAGGTCCCTGGTCCTTCGTTCCCAGCTGCTGGCTTCCGGTTCAAGTAACGTATTACTGCATCTTCGACCCTGTAACATATCATATTTCAGAAACGTTATCATCAATCCACTTTTCACTACTCTAGTAGTGAGTGAAGTTATCAAACAAAAAAAACAGAGTGAGCAGAGACAATGAGCTTACCAAGGTTGATTGAAGAAGTCTGCTCGACGTTCTTTCTCAGCGTTTCTACTAGCTTCTCCCGCTACCACCTTCAGATCCTTGCTCTGAGATTCAATCAATGCGTTTATGAACTCAACTGGAGACTGGCTGAATCCCAAGAAAAACGCACGTCTCCTCCTATGCTCATGGATTTTCCTTATAGCTGCACATATAGCTTCATCACAAGCCTCAATCTCTTTATTCTTCTCTGCATTAGCCAACAAGTTGTTCAGATCCCTTTGAATCGGGAAAGGTACATCCACCAGGACATCGTAACAGGCTGATATAGCCGGGTTGTTTCCCGACAGCTTGATCTTGTGTTCTAAGTGAATCGGTGGTGGAGGAGACAAGTGATGAGATATCTTCTGAGAGACCATAGTGAATTTAACCTTTTCTTCCCCAAAGACTTTGTGAAGTGCAGCGTCACAGTTGAAAAAAGAAGGGTCGTTTGGGTTCTGAAGTTTCCTCGCCTTGACGTAATGCCATATCGCAGAGATGATTCTTGGCCTCGTCTCAACCTCAATCCCAAGAACATCCATCAACGCAGTAGATAGCTTGAACTTTTCAGGGACGTAGTTCATCTCCAACCGAATAGTAGCTGCAAACTCCTGATTTCCTTTCCTCTTTATCTCAAACCCTTCCTGAGGAGCAGGTGATCTAGCACTCTCCCATGTGATCACCGAGTTCTCAGGATACAACCTCTGATCCAGATTAACTATCACCTTCTTGAAGAAAGAAGAGAACTTAGGATGCGCTGGGTTTGCTTGTTGAACAAACCCTGGCTGGTCCGGATCCACACCATCTTCCAGTATCCTACCAACAATCTTAAGAGTCCAAGTTGGCGGGTCAGCATTTGGATTCCCAGGGATAGTATTGTTCTGGTTCGCAAACGAGTTGAACACATAGATCCTAAGCGTCTTCTGCGTGCAAGGAGGGTTCTTAAGCGCCTCCTGGATATCAACTTTCTTCCTACTCAAAGCAGCATCAACCCTTGACTCAAACTCAAGAAGCTGTGTATACAAAGCAGACTCAGGCAAAATTGCCGCCACCCTTTCTTGCAACGACTTCTCAGGAAGCTTCATCTTCTTCTTCCTCGCCGCGGGAGTCAACTCCATCGTCCTCATGGGGGAGATAGTGTTGTTGTTACTCGCAGGGAAACCAGAAGGAGGTCTCATCGACGGTCTCTGCTGGAACCTCTTCATGTTCAAGCTTCCAGGAGTCATGGAAGGAGAAGATGCACCACCACCCAGAACACCAATCCCTTGGGAGCCCTGTCCTTGGTTCATAGACATCCCTGCTTGCATCTGAGCTTGGAACTGAGCTTGAGCTTTGGACTGGGCTTGGGCTTGAGCATGGGCCATGGCTTGGGCTTGTGAGAATTGAAACTGAGCTGGAAAGTTAGGTGTCATGTGAGACTGAGTGAAGCTTTGGTTTCCAGGGACAGATGCAGAGGCCATCCCAGGGTTGCCGAATGGTGAAGGAGCAGAGCCTTGTGGAGGCTTCTGTGGATTGTTGTTGCTGCCTGACATTGATACCTATCAAATTCACAAAAAAAAAGAACTCTCTTTTGAATAACTAAACTTCAATTTAAACAAACATAACCGATAAATCTAATTAAAAACCTAATAAAGATAACACCTTTTTCTAATGATTTACAATATATCTTCGGTATCGATTAATCTAACAAACACCACAAGACGATATATCGGAGCCTAAAAAACCCTAATTTTTTTTCCAAGGTTGAATTTAACGAGTGAGGAGTAATCTCCAGAGATTATCTATCGAGAAAGAAGAGGCTACCTTGAAAAAATGCGAAGATTCGTTTTCTACTACTGATTCTCCGTCGTCGCCGTTGTTCTGCTGCGTCTCAGTTCGATAGAGAGAGTAATAAAATTGCTCACTGGAGCTATTCAATTTATGACTTCACCGTGTTGAGACCCGACCCGTTAACTTCTGAGCCCACTGCGACTATTGAAATTTTTATACTACATTATTGGGCCATTGGCCCAACTTGAATTCCCATATTTACATTTTTTATTACGAATTTCTTTTGTTTTACAAATTTTGTAGTTTTTTTAGTTATGTGAAATTGTGAAAATAGTTTATGTGCAGTAATATTTTAAAATGAAAAATATTTTCTTTTTTGAACTGAAATATATAAAGATGATTAGTTGAGATGTAGCAAGTGATTTTAGATTTAATTTTTATTTACAATCATAAAAGTTATCAATCGTATTTTATCTAATTTTTAAAACTACAATAAAACAAAAAAAATTGTATCAATCTTATTTTCTAATGTATTATCTTGTAAATGGTAGAGAAATAATATTAATGTATAAATTGTTTTTTTGTTACTTTTTCTTCTAGCCAAATTTATTGCAACAACATCAAATACAGTAAAAAAATTCTAGATATATCCCAATCAATTACCCCCAGTTTATTACGTTCTATTTCTTTTTTTAGCGTTAGTTTTTTTAATATAATTTAAAATAAGTTAGCCATGGTTCTTTTTTATATTTTTTTGTGTACATTGTAGCGGTGGTTCTTCTTCCTTTTTTTTATATTTATTTTAGCGGTGGTTCTTTAACAACAAGAAAAGAAGCTAGTAACTGTAAATTTATTATTTTACCCGTTTGTTTAGGGGGAAAAAACAATTGAAGAATATGGGCACACAAACATACATATAGTCTAATAAGTATCACTAAAACTAAGTTTGTCGTTTGAAAAAAGTAGCAACTTGGTTATAAACAACGTCTTTGGCAGTAACGCCCATGATGAAATCAGCATGAGCATACTCTTTTACAAACTGCACTTCAATCTTATCAACGTCATGAAACTTAAACTGGTCAATCAAAAACCTGACGTCGTTCACATCAGCCAGAGAGTCTAAACCACCATAGCTGAAGAAAAGCGGTAGGTCGTGTGGGATCGCCGATATGTTGTAAGCCGGCGGCAACGGTTGACCGTAATGTTTTATGTTGCAATCAATAGTTCCGTAGTTGTATTTTCTCAACACCTTGTCTCTTACCGCTACAAGAAAATAAATATAATATTGATTTTAACGACACGTGCATGTAATTTTCAAGAAAATACATTTTGGGAAACTTTGGTAAACTTACTTTGAGAAAGGTGGATCATGTTCTTGGTGGAAGTAGATTGTGGTTCATTCGCCAGGAATAGATCAATGGTTGATGCGTTAAGGCAACAATTCTTGCCTGTATATTTGAAAAATAATTAACTAACTAATATATAATTAATTGATTAATGGTAATTATTGGTTGTTGCATTACCGGTAATAACAGAGATTAAATCATAACAGTCGATCCCTGCTTGACTGCATATAATCTTTATGAAGTGCCCTACTATTCCACTGCCAAATTTGTTTTATTGTTTTACATAAGCAAACAAAGTTGATAACAAAAAAAAATGTTATAAGAAAAAACATTGTGAAGATCTATCTACCTTTTGGGGTTAAACTCTGCCACTCCAATTATGGCGGTGGCCTGTTTTGTAAAGATGACAAACGAGTTATTTTTTGCACACATCTTAATAAATATGTTAACAATAAAAGACTGATAAGGTATAGAGACCTCGGCGAGGAAGCTTCTGGCGGCGATGTCACCGAGTACGGTGGTCATGTGGCTGAGATAAGCAATAGGACTCAGCATCGCCGCCGATCTCAATTTATCCACTAACCCCTTTTCGGAGAACGATGCAAATCCTATCAAAGTCCCCTGATGTATATTTTTTTTTTCCATTTCGTTATCATTTTCAATTATTTTATATTTTTGTAAAGAGTATAAACATAAGAAAATATATGTTGATAACGTTGGACCCACCAAAGAGTGTCCGAGGTAGTGCATTTTTTGGTCTGTTAGGCCGTGGATATGGTCAAACATAGCAGGCAGATCGTAACTCACGAGCTCGTCCCACGTCCAGTTCCAGAAAGCCTACGTACAACGTGCCAAAACGGTTAATCTTGGTCTTATTAACAAAACAAAAATAATACGTACGTAACCAACTGATTAAGAGGAGTGGTTGATTGAACCGGACCGGTTGATTAGGGCTAAGGTACTTGTGTCTCCTGCTGAATCTAGTCCCTCTTGTGTTCCCCATCCACACATCGAATCCTTGATCAGCCAAAATCAAGGGTAGATTTTGATCCGCCGGATTCAACAGCCACGACATCCCATCCTGCACATTCAACTTACATGCTTATTTTGAACATTACTAATCCTCAGATAGAGTCAACATGGTTATTTATGTAAACTTAACTAAAACAACAACGATTCTCCAATACTAGAAAAGCATGTTTTCAGTTGACTTTATTTTAATGGTCTTTCTTGTAACGCTCAACTTATCACTTTATTTGTTGGACTCACATGATAAACACTCATGGTGTCTCTTATTATGTTATTTTTACCCACCACTAAGATATATGTAAAATATTTATTTAGTATTACTTCTAAGTTGAAACTGACACATAGAAGTGAGTGGAAACATTCCTTTCACACTCGAATAGTTTACAAACAAATACACAATGAAGTTGCATATATACATCTACTCAGTGTACGTGTACATGCTCACAAGGTAGGCACTAGAACATCGAGTGCTGCACGTTGGTATTGCCCCACGATTTTGCATTAATATGTGAACTCTCTTAAAATAAACGTATGCACATGGAAAATCCTTTCTGCATTTGTATTATTTTGGAAATTGATATAGAATTTCCACCTAATATTTTTAGGCTTTTGTTTTCTCATTTTTTCTTTCTTGAAAGATAATTATACTACAACTATGTATTTGAAGAAAAAATGATATAGAGTTTCCACCTAATACTTTTTGCTCACTTTTTCTTTCTTTAAAAGAGATACTAATAATTAACTACAACCATTTTACTTTTCTCTTCAAATAGATAGTTGTAATTTGATTGTATCACTTAACACAAAAAAAATATTAACGGTTAATGCGATGCAAAAGGGTAATGAAGAGTTAAACTTACGACAAGAATCCCATGCTGTATTAGGACAGGCTGTCTCTTGGACATATCTCCGGTGCCGGCTCGTCCTTCCGGTATCCTTTGCATATTCAATATGTATCCATCTTGAGTCACCACCTTCGAGATTAAACCATCTCATGAGTTCATATTCATGCTTGATATTAATCGTCATTAACAACAACAATATATATCATAGAAAAAGTATATCTTACATCATGTTCTTCGCATTTGTAACCAAAAATTCGGACAGAGGAAGCGCATATGCCGTCAGAAGCAGTCATCTGCGGCAGCTTCCGAGCTAGCCGGTCGAAGGGTCCACGAGCTTCAAGGGGATTAGTGGAAAGAGCGAAGAAGATTAAGGCTAAAGCGATTGACCCGGATAGAGCCATAACCGAACCGGCTATTGAGATTAGGGGTGTTGTCTCGTTGTAGAAATTAAAGAGAAAAGATTTTTATATAGAGAATGGATGACGGACAGGATAATGGGAAATGAGTTATTTTTAAAGAAAAAAATCTCACGTTGATTTTGAATATCACAAAATTGTATGTTGGACTAGCTCGTCTGAATTTTATAATATTACCACACACCCCCAAAAAAATCTAGTTTAAAAGAAAATCAAAGAATAAAATTTTGAAATTTTTTGAGAATTTGAACATTGTATAAAACATAATACTCAGTGACACGAAAAAATAGTTGACAACCCATTATATTTTACTATGTATGATCATAATTCTTTGTCAACTACGTATAAATGATATTAACCCAAAAAAGAAAAAGAAAAATTAGTGAACATCTTCCTGATAAGAAAAGTAATCCCAAAATCTAAAAATTAGTAAACATCTTCCTGATAAGAAAAGTAATCCCAAAATCTAACAAGGATATACATCTCATTGCTGACTAGCTAGCATTTATCCAAAGTGTATGATAGTAAGAAAAACTATCTGATATATATTTTCTTAAATACCAAATAAGCGTAGTTGTAATATTCGTTTTGTGTTTTCGTGAGAAGTGAAAAAAGAAAAGAGGACGAAAGAAGAAAAATGTTAAAGGCAGATAGGAGATGGTGTAGGGACGGATAAGTGGAGTGGTGACTTCAGCTCCGTCACTTGTTTTCTTCTTCTTATTAAACTCCAAAAAAAAAAAACAAATTCTATTTCTTCATCTGGTTGCTTCCATTTCACACCGTGTGCACAGTGTAAGGTGTCAGGAGGACTCAGGAATACATTAAAAATAGAAAAACCTCGAGACATGTTTTCTTGTAGATAATATAAAAAAGTGTGAGGTTCCAAATAATTTATAGACCAAGACCAAGTCTTGGTTTCACATATTTGGTGTCCACACTTCAACACTTATCATCCCTACTCCCTAGGCACTCCACTATTAATCGTATCATACTCGGATATACCAAAAGAACCGGCCACATTTCTCGCCTGATGGTGTGTACGTAAGTCTATAAATATCATTACTTCCAGATCTGGTTTGACTGTATTATAATCTCGCTACATCCAGATCCTATTTCACTGCATGCAATGTTATGTATGTAATATCGTGTTGGATTTTGACCTGAACATATTATTTGTAATGGATTTACGAGAGGGTTTTTACTTCTAAGCTTAGCTCATTTATGGATTAATAATGGATTTGACGAAACGCCAATATCTAATGTTAATCTAAAAAAAATAAACAGACATCCTAGTTTATCTAAAAAATTAAACAGACATCTTAATTCGTAGGAGTGAGCATTTGGATACCCGTCGGATTTGGCTCCGGTATTTCGGGTTTTCGGGTATTTTGATATTGGGATTTAGAATCCATTCGGGTATTTTTACATATCGGGTCAGGTTCAGATATTTTCAGTTCGAGTTCGGTTATTTTGGGTTGGGTTCGGATATTTTGATTTTGAAAGAAAAATTTCAAATTCTTTATTACTTAAGTTTCATTTATTTTAAATTTAACTATTAACTTAATTATTTTTGAAATGTTTAATAAGTTAGACAATTAATAAGTTTGAAAAGAAATTATTGAAAATAAAAATCATTATTTTGGTTGTTATTTTCGAATTTTGGATGTAAATTTTATTTAAAATATGAAATAAGAAGCTTAATATACATTTTAAATTAGTAACAAATCAACTTTTCTTACAGTTATATGTATCTTATTTGATATTAAACTATATATAACATTAATATAAATATTTTTGATAAAATGAGACAAATAAACTAGAAATAATAGGAATATATACATATGTTTAGTTATCTTCGGATATCCGTTCGGGCTCAGATATTACCCGTTCGAGTTTAGGTATTACCCGTTCGAATTCGGATATCCAAGTTCTCCTAATTCAATATCCGTTCGTATATTTTGTTACTTCAGTATGGATTTCGGTTCGGGTACGAGTTGGTATCAGATAAAGTGCCCACCCCAATTATTTTGATACTATTACATTTATCTTGTGATCACGCTGATATTGACTATTACCTTCGATCCATTTGAATGCTCAATAAAGGATCCGTGGAAGATATCTTAATCCATGAATTAAATCTGTGTTATTAATAGATCCAAATTTAATCTTTTTCCTCAAAAAAAAAAGAACATACTAGTGGAACATAAAAAAACTGGTGGAATCAAGGAGATGGGTGAGGAGGAGGTCAGACCAGTGTAATCCAAAGCTACAGCTACTGTTTAAGGTTATTGCTTTTACGGTAACTTATATGCTAAGTTCATGTATTAGAAACCTTTATATGCTAGCTTTAGCTTGTATTAAGACCAAATTTATAAAACTTTACATTTTTGAAAGACTCAAAAGAGAACAATATCAGACATTAGCACACTCCGGATTCATGGTGACGTGTCAGATTTGCGTTCAGCGTCTGCAGCAGACTGCATTTGAGCTGCATACTGCAAGTTCCAGAGAACATCTTCAAAGGAAGGCCGTGCCGAAGGTTCAAGCAAAACGCATTTATTAGCGATTGAGATAGCAATCGCTAAAGACTCCTGAGAGCTCGTTGTTAGTACCGTTGGACTCACTATCTTCTGTCGACCGTCTTGGCTTCCAAATGACGTCTGTAAAAACATTACATTATTGCAGCAACAGCTATTAACTAACTTCGTTTCTATCAAATAAAATAAAGATGAATACTTCTTTGTTCTTCTCTGTTTATTACCAGTTCGTTGAGAAGAAAGGCCTCTCCTTTTGTAGTGGGCAATGGTCCTATGAGAGATTCCAGAAGTATGAATCCAAAGTTGTACACATCATCCTCTCTTTTAGCCAGTTTCCTGCATAATCCCCAAAGTAAGAAGAATTCATGTTTTTATTAGCTGCAGTTTTGAGTAGGTTTTAGCTATAGAAGTGATACAAAAATACATACTTGGACTTGCTGTTGGTTTCTGACTTTGTCTGTAAAGAAGCAGAAACAACCACAGAGTTCTGAGTTAGTATCAAAGAAAAGAACATAAAATGAAGATAAACAGAGAAATAGAAAACGGAGCAAACCTCAAGCTTTTCATTCTCTTCAATGATGGCAGAGACTCCATAGTCACTGAGCTTTGCAATCTTGTGTTCGTCAAGCAAAATGTTGTTCGTCTTCAGATGATTGTTGAAGGAGCCAGGCATTACACCAGTGTGAAGAAAATGAACTGCCTTTGCTATCTCAATCAGAATTGCTAGCCGGTCTGGCCACGTTAGGATCTTCTCCGAGCAAGACTCTACGATACTCTAACACTCAGTTTCCAAATACATAGATCTACTTTAACTTTGAGTTTACTACATATGTCACTGACCTGATAGATGTTCACGATATGTCCCTTTGGGCATATACTCGTAAACAAGGTAGAGTATGGTCGCTGCATGATCATGTTCTCCGCTGGTTTGAGTGCAATGGCCCAATAAGCTAAGGAGATGAGGATGGTTGAGCTTAGACATCCAATCTACGTGACTTTTGATACTTTTGCTAGAGAATTTTCTTGATAAAACCAGACATCTTACAGCTATAAAACTTCCATTTTCCAATGTTCCTCTGTATAGCTGCAAAGATATCAAAATAAGAAGAGTAGCATATGACCGTTGGTGAGATCACAAGAATCAAATCATACCTTTCCGAGGGAGCCTTCACCTAAGAAACGTGATGAATGGAAATCCACTGTGGCTTCTTTTAACTCTTCATAAGAAAATGAGCGGCATGAAGGCACACCTTGTGCACCTAGCTTTGCTGTTTGAGAGATTAACCCTGCAAGACGTTACAATTATATTAAACTCCTGCTTGCAGAAGAAAGGTCTACATTTTGAGTTAATGTTTACTCACTTGCACTAGCAAGGACTTCAGAGGAGAGACTGGTGTGTGAATTATCTGTCAGAATCTTAAGCCGAGTTTGCGGTACTGACTTTCCTCTTGAACAACAGCAACAACATGAGCGTTTTGTGCATAACAGGACTAGTCCGATTGCAACCAACGCAAGAACTAGAACAGCTCCACTAATCACAGCAATTAAAGTCCCAATTTTCCTTCCTTGTAACTGTTTCCTCTCAGTTTCAGCCTCTTCACATGAGAATTCTTGATGCTGATCATAACTGATATTTATAGACAAACAGTTTCCACCGAGTTTAACAACTCTCTCGCCTGAAGAGCCTGCCAAGCAATGAGGAGGAGTCCCAATCAATCTGTTATTCGACAAATCCACAAAACCAAGTTTGCCTCCACAAGTCAGATTAAATGGTAGCTTCCCGCTGAGCTTGTTAGATGCCAAGTCCAAGTAACTAATGCTTGGCAAGGAGAACAAGAACCGAGATGGAGTTCCAGTAAGATGATTGAACGACAAGTCAAGATGTTGAAGCTGAGACAAACCACCCAAATGTCTTGGAATTTCGCCAGAGAATGAGTTCTTGCTCAGTAAAACAGTAACCAATCTTTTAGGCATCACAGGTAGTTCAGAATCCAAGTGATTCTCTCTTAAATCCAGCATATGGAGATGCTCTAACTTGCTGAGATCAGGCAATTTACCAGAGATCTCATTGTGTGAGAGAGCAAGATTTGTTAGTCTTCCAATTCTGCAGATTGAAGAAGGAAATGGCCCATTGAACCGGTTGTTCTTCAAACTAAGAACAGTGAGATTGGTCAGAGAGTCCAACGTGTCAGGAACACTACCGTTGAAGTAGTTTCCATCTAGCATCAGACTTTGAAGCTTAACCAATCTGGAAATATCAGGAGGGACAGAACCAAACAGATAATTTGAACTCAAATCCAAAGACTCGAGTGAATACAACCGATGGATCTTCGCTGGTAACTCACCAAATATACCTAGTGACACTAAGCTAAGAACCCTCAAGCTTGAAAGCCTTGTCAGTGTTGTAACAAAAGAATCAATTAAGAAAGCTTCGGAGAGAGTACGGTTTGGTAGTGAAGATCCATCAAACATACCAAATGGTTTTAAAAGCTTGTCCCCCATGACTTTTAGCTCTGTGATGGAATTACCTTCACAGGAAATGCTCATATGAGCAGTTGCAGGGATTTGACATAAGTCTCCGTAGTAACTTCCCCAAGATTCCAAAGCTTTGGGGAATTCTAGATGCTTCCTGAGCTGATACAGGTCTTGGGTCTGAGAGTTTGGAAGTTGATGGGTGCTTTGTAAGAACAAAAACCATGAAAGAAAGACCAAAGGCAAAACCTTTGAATGAGCCATGATAAATTAGCAGAAGAGGAAAGTGAAAGAGACCAATATAAGAGTCTTTTTGCTTTAGAATTTGAAAACTCACACACAATGTTTCCAAGAACTCAGGAGACAAAGAACTTAAACTCAGAGAGGAACGGCTAGTCAAAGAAATTAAACACAGTTCGTGATCCTAGACGCTCCTCTCGAGTTTATAACCAAATCAATGAACAAGTCAAGAAAACTAAAAGCAGCAGAAGAAGAAAGAGAGTAAAGGGAGTGAAGACAAGTGCAGAAGTCTTGGATGAGAATGTTCGGTGTTCTTGTGTGTGTGTGTTTGTCGTATTAACACATAGATGAGAAAGAAACTGGGGAAGCTAAGGAGGAAGGTGATAAGAACATTAAAGACAAAGAGGTGAGCAGCATTAATGGTTGGCTTCTGTAATTTCTGTTTAAGACTTGACAAAAGAAGAGATTTCAAAGAATCTTCTTAAGGGAACTGTGAATTAAGAATGTGGGTCACCAGAAACAAATCATAAAGCTAACATATTTGCACTCAATTTAATGAAAGTGTGTTCTTTTTAATATGCAATTTGTCTGTAAAAGTAACAGTAATAAACAATGTTAAACTTGAAACAGAGAAGAAGAAAATGAGATTTGAATTTAAATTTGGTATAGATAAAGTATGATACTGTATAACAACAGTTTGGGCTATGGTTGACTCATGGAAGATGCCGTTAACACATGTCTCCTCTTCTTATATCATCGTTTATTAATTTTAAGCATTGGTTTATGTGTGTGATTAGATTACATGTCTTGTTAATTCACCAAACTGCCCTTCTACGACACCAACAAAGGTGTATGACGAATACGAAGCTTTTGCTCTACGAAACATTGTTCGGTAGAAGCTGCTTTCGATGCAGGGCAAACATGGAAATAAATAATATCATCCCAACCATAGAATAGTATATTATATCCATCCACTAAGATAATTTTCACCAACCATCTTCACCACAAATCGACATTTTATTAGATTGTAGCATATTTATTTTTGAGACGAATGTTCTTATAGAATAGTCTAGGCTTGTAGCTCTAACTCTTAAGGGATAAAGCACAGCAAAAAGGTGGTGATTATGCTTTGTTAAAGACTTAAAGGTAGTTGTTCAAAAAAAAAAGAGCTTAAAGGTCAAGGGAGGAAAAAGCAAACTACAATGGTTAAAGCCCACTTTAGTGGGCCTAATATGCAGGTCCCACAGGTCTGTTCTAAGTTCAGGACCCCATCATAGTAATAAGTAACTTTCTTTTCTCTAAAAAATATAAAATAAAGTTTTTCCTTAAGCTCTGTTCTTCACTGATGTTTAATACTAATAACACTTTGGTAATTCAAAGTGACGACTATGAATCAATGGATGTATAATTGTAAATGATTCGTTTATCTCTGGATATTACCAATTTTTTTTTAGCATTTTCATGATATGAAAAGGAACGAAAAGATGAGAAAAGTGCAGGCTCAAATATTGATGCTGCTTTAGTATCCAAATGAGACTTAACAATGCAAACTTGGGTTTAAGACAGAGGTCGCTTTATAGGAGGAAGATAAAACAAACCAGAAAACTCCAGGGAATGGGAATGGGAATGGCAGAGCATGTGAGACGAAGAGACCTAGACATTAAGATGCTAACAACTAGCACTAGGACAACCTTTTTGGGACCATTTCATGGTTTTGGTTATGCACAAGGAATAAACATCAACATCCCCTTATCACCAGAAACCAAACAAGTTTCTATCTAACTTATCTTAGTTGTCTGGAGAATAGAAAAGATATCTTCAAGATAAGGCAAAAACAGCATTTTTTAGGAGTCTTCAATCCTAAAACATCCTTATTATATTATGTTCAAGAAAAGTGATACATAACAAGGAAACGGACCAAGCAATGTATTGATCATTTAACGCTGGAACTAGTTAGTCTACGAGAATCTGGGTTTTTCTGAGTTTGTTGGTTAATCCCATGGCTTATTGCATTTTACAAGTTTACAAACTTAAAGGGATTATAAAAGACAAACCTCGGCAAATGTTTATAAGCTGTCCTCTGGTTTCTTGTCATTCGAGCAAGACTCCAAGTAGGAGATCACGAGATCAGCTGCTTTGCAACCTGATGCTATTGATTTCCCAACAGAGAGACCGCCTCGATGATTACCTGTTCATTTTAATCCGTTAACGATAGTTAATCGTCTCAAGGCCATAGGTGGGCTACTAGACCTCATCATCATGGATCATGTACTCAATGCTCTTTTTTTTTACGAAACTGAAATTTTGATTAAAGTTACCTGCATAGAAGAATCCGGGTAGATCTTTCTCCATCTTGTCTATTGCTTCCATGACTGAGTCATAGCTTCTGTCATACAACGGGAATGCTTTGTTCCAATAGATATGGCTGCAGTTAACATATATTGTTCATCTATAAGGACAATCTCATCTTCCCTACACTTAAATGATTGAATGAAAAAAAAGTTCCAAGCTCCACATACTTGACGAACACGGGTTCACCTTCAACCCCTAACAGTCGCTGAAGGTCAGAAGTCACAGCTTGTTTTAATTCATCCCTACAAAGATAGAACGTAACGTAAAAAGAATACTTAGTCAGCTTTCGTAAGTATCATGTTTCACATTTCTTAGTGACTACGTAGCTTAACTTAAGGCATCAGATTTTTCTTACGTGGAAGCTTTGGCTAGTTCCTGGTTCCTACTCCCACCAATAAAAGTTGTGTATAAATGAACGTCACTAGGGCAACGATCTGGAAACATCATTGAGGAAAATAGTGTACCTGTGTAGAGAGAAGTGTGAAGTGCTGATAATTACAAAGAGAAATATAGGGTTATTTGTTTGAAATATGTTCTGGGACACCCAGAAATTACCTAGAGTTTTGAAACCATGCTTTTGCTCCTTAGATGGAATTAGTACCCCAAAACCTTCGAGAGGTCTCTTTACTTTCTCCTTTGTAAATGTAGTGATTATAACCGAGAGTGGCATATAATTAATCTAAGCAATGCACAAGATCAACATCTTAATTAAAACTGTGCAAATACATGCAGTGAAGACCTTTGATGTCACTGTTCTCAGTATTAGTATTTGGAGTAGAAAAATCTAACGGCAACACGAAAGGATGGACAATATCAAGATTTAGACCTAAGACTCTCAAACATCTCTGATAGTTGGATAAGACATGATTACCTCTGGCAGAAAGTTTAGCTTGAAGGGTTCTCCTCCTTTCATAACCTTCATCTCTTTCACATTGCACAGAGGAGCCTATGGTACATACATATCATTTCATTAGATATGTTCTGTTATGTCATCTCAAATCCGACAAAAACGGTACGCCACTAACCGTCATAATTACAGCATCATAATGCAGGTTTTGTCCCTGCGTCTCATTGTGAGAAACACAAGATAGTGACCAGTTTTCCTGTCTTGGACCAGCATTGTAAGATAGAGAGAGAACCTTGGAGTCCAAATTGAGCTCATCCCTTGAGAGATCTTTACACAACATATCAGGAAGAATCTGCAATCTCACGAAGTGGAACATACAACGACAAATGGTAGAGAACAAGAAGAACAGTATTATTAGTACTACAGCGGGAAATATTTGTTTGTGTGATCTATATAATATTTAGCTTTCAGTGAGAAATCATCACCTGCATTCCCCCCTTAAAAGAAAATGACCCGCGTGAGCCCTTCTTTGTTTCTCCACTTTTACTACCTTTAGCAGCAAACTTTGTTCTGATTGCACCGACTATTATAGAGCCAAAACTGAAAAAGGTATAAATTGTTTAGCAACTAAACCTAAGAACAGTAAAAGACCTAATCGCCATAAAATCCGTATAGACATTACAGAACCATGTAAATCTCAAGCCATTCTCAATATAAGGAAGCTATCATTATTTACAATGCTGTCTTTGCGAGTAGAATTTTTGTGCATGTCATATTACATATCGAGGTTTGATATTTCTAAGAACAAAATGACACAAGTAAAGGAATGACCAATGCAATCTGTGACTGCATCACCCTAGCAAGCTAGAAGCACACAAGTAAAAGGCTTGGAAGTCTTCTTCAAGTGACTGAATATAGCATAGTTACATGAAAAAGGTACCTTCTCTCTATATTCCACAGATCTGGAAAAGAATGCTTCATCTGAGCATAAGACGTGGAGCGGGATACAAAAGTGAGGAATATAAAATGATAATTCTTCAAAACAAAGACACCAAGTTAAGTGTAAAGTTGCTCACTGAAAGGGATTCAGGGTCAGCAGCACTTGTTCCACCAACAAAAGGGTCAATGAGATAGTCCACAACCTTAAAATCAGATACACAAAAAAGAGACATCAAAAGAACATCACAGTGATCTGAAATTGATATAGATAATCTACAACTGGTTTTCACACGTGCAGGGTGAGATAAGAATGTTTCAGTCCAAACCTAAGGCTAGGTAGTAACAAACCTCTTGTCCAAAATGGCGTTGAAAGAACCCGCTTACACTACAGCAGAGAAATAGGGAAGTGAAAACTCAATATATAAGCTTATATGCTTGAGATTGCTGATGGTCTGAGCGGGAAAAATATACTCACCTCTCGACTACGGATGCGTCTGATACTTTTGAGGACAAGTCGTTTTTCTTCCATAAAAATGGTTCCAACAAGATTTGAAACTGCAAGTAAGGCCTAATTCGTTTAGTGATTTTCGAGTTACTAAATAAAAGCACTTTGGTAGAAGAGAGCTTCTAATATCTGGTGGTAGTTAGTCCACAGAAAATCATAAACCGTAGAAATAACATGCCTCAATCAAGACAAGAATTTTCAGTGTAATAAAGAAAACATTGCACTTCTATCTGGAAGAATGTACCTTAGATTGGGTAGAGAGCACACTACTTGTGATCAGCGCTATAGGATTAGTGGGTATCTAGCATAAAAACAGAGAACATCTAAGCAACATAAATTAGACATGAACACCTTATTATACGAAGAAGCAGCAATCCATGAGAGTAAGGAAACAAGTAGGGCTTACCATCACAGGTAACCCATTCCGCACAATATACCGTTTCTTCTGTGAAAGTGGCTGCAACAATAGAGAGAGAGAGCTCTAAGAAGGATTGAGAATCTTGAGACAAATGGGAAACTAACGTAGAATAACATCTTAAGTCTCTCAGTTAGCAATCAACAACAGTGTAAAGTACTCACAAATTGTTGTTTCTCACGAAGCCCAAGATCATCTAGCAAACTCCCAACTTCTGGCTCACCCTCAGTCTTACACATGCAACAGATGAGCATCATCTAAATCCTTGAGGAACAAAAGTGTGTAATGAACTTAAAACAAGATTCTACCATAGTGTTAGCTCCTTCATCCCAAATCAAATCATTATGCATAACACTTCTCAGCTTCCCACCTACTCTTCCATCAGATTCAAACACAGTCACATTCAAACCCTTTGATTTCAACTTGTAAGCCGCCGCAAGTCCACTTGATAAAAAAACAATCAAATGCATTGACAAACAAAAAAAACAACATAATATGTGAGTGTGACTTCCTTACACAAACAAAAGCTAATCAAAAAAATTGACAACAAAAACAAATCAAGCAGCATTACCTTACACCAGCACCTACAACTGCAACTCTTTTTCCTGAAACTGCTTCAAAAAAAAAATTCATTGGAAGATACAAACAAACAGTTCGAAATTATATAAGCAAAACGTGACAATTCTACAAAAAGGAGCTAAAATTGAAGTATTGCTTACGTTTATCATGATCTGATACTGCGTTAGACGCCATTGCTATCTGCAAAAAGCTACACAATTCAGCGTCAAATTGTCTGACCAGAAGAAAAGAAAGCAGGTAGGAGATAAATAAAAAATACCTGCTCCTCCAAAACGACAACAAAGGGTGCCGTTTCATTTCTCAGGCCCTCTCAGGCCCATTAGTCCACTATCATCTTCATTAACGGGCCTTGATTTATGTCACTTCGCGCTTAAAACAGTTTCTCTCTTTTCTAACAACCGTTTTGATTTTATTTGACATTCAAACGTAAATAATCCATAATTTAAAATTTCAAAATTATAAACAGCCACGATCTTATCTTAATTTGTGTTCCCGACCAAGAAAGCTTTCGTTATTTTATAATGAAAATTTATATTTACTTTAGTGTGGATTTTTGCATCTAAAAGAATGCTAAAACTTGTTGGTAGTTATCGTGGTTGTTAATTTAATCGATGAAATGAAAAAACACCCTTTCGATAAAGATCATTATTGGTTTCGTTATAAGAAAAAGTATGTAACAGTACTACCAAATATCACTTTTTAGAGCATACCAACATTGAATATTAACTTAACACATAAAGTTCAAAACTCAAAAGTAAAAGATAACTTAAACAATATATTTTGCTGTGATTACGAGGACATTATGTGGCCCATTTGTACAATGGAAACTTTTCAAACTTAATAGATTGAGAATTGTCGCATGAGTGAAGGAAAATGATAACTCATGTGTTTTGATAAGATTAAATTGGATCATTAACTAGGTTTTATATTTGCTTTGCGCCATGCCGCCATGGAACTTTAAGACTGAAGCAAACTAGTTAAACATTTAATCTCTGCCGCCAAATATGAATTTGAATTATTTTGATACCACGTATAGTCATATGACTCATATGTGTCTTCTTTTATTATCCTTTTCAAATTTTCAAAGTTGAAAAAGTAACAAAGTCCTAAGATGTTTTGTGCAAATTGTTTTACTTTTGCCACCTTGATCATCTACCACTGAGATTGTTTGCTTAAACTTTCTTAACAACATATAATAAGAGGAAATAAGTTAGGATTTGAATTTTGTAAATGCTTGATGTCTTTGCTATTATACGTTTTCTTAACCTAATTGTTAAGATTTCTTGACGTCAAAGAAAGAAAAAAGTTACTACGCTGTTCGTAATTTTGTTATAAAAATCGAGCTGCAATCATATGAATCTTATCAACAGAATATTTTTTTCTCCAAGTGTGATTAACATATTTAGGCAGGGAAATTAGGAGAGGTTCTCCATGCTTTGTCCTAACTATAATTTTGGGAAATGATTCGAAAACGCGTAATTTTCGAATTTTTGTTGGGCCCATACCTTTTTGTGGGCCGAGCCGGTGCACATTTAATTCATTTAATTTTGTTATTCTCTCAATTTATTTCATTTCATTTCATTTTCGAATTTAGTCTAACTTGTTACTACTTTTTATCACGTTTAAGTGATTTATGATCGTGATAAAATCACAGCTGAATTTGCCACGTATTTATTGCAGATTAATACAAGTACAACAACGATATTGCTAAGAACCACCCTTTTTGGGGTCTGATTTCCTCTTAACCATTTGCCTTTGTTTTTACTTCCATAACATGTTTTGTAGAAAAGAAGTCCAAGTGTTTACACACAAAAAAAAAGTAGAAAAGAAATCCAATATTTTACATGATTTGTATAATAATACTTAACCTGTTAAGTGGAATAAAACACGTAATTTGCATGTAGCAATCTAGATCACGAGATCTTCGCGCGACATGAATGTCCACACTAGGATCCAAGGACTCAAGTTCCGTTGGTCAGCTCATTTCATTTAAACCATATCCTAAAATAATAAACTATATGGTTGAGCTCACACACTAGAAATAAATAAGCAAATTAAAGTACACCGTACACGTTATTGATTTTTTGATGTAAGATGGCCTCTCTTCTCCACATTTGATCTAAGAACAACAAACTATAAATTCTATATTTTCTTCGTTACTACTATACTCCCGCAATACCACTGTGTAATAAAACGAACCATGCTACAGTGTTTGGTTAGGGAACTGTATCTATATATGATATCTTGAGCTACAGCTAGATGGGGCCTGCATTGATTTGAGCAAAATAGTCAAATCTACATAGACGTATTCCACGAGTGAGTTGTACTGGTCGATGAGGAGTCAATCTCATGACGAGTCACGTCTTTGCCGTACGTACGATTACGAAAGTCTGGTCCTATTACAGATACCATATCCCATGTATATATCTCCACCGACTTCTCCAATATCCTCTCTACCACACTTTGATATTCTGTGTATCATCCAAAGATCTCATTTACATCACTTCACTATGTCCCCCTCAATTTAATTCCGGTCGCCCACTGTTTTTATTACTGTGATCTGTATTCTAATCGATTTACGTCGTCCACGACAAAATAGATAGAGAGTTATAATTGTGAAGATATGTGTCTGTTCATAAACTCTCACTATTGGTTATTTTGGCATGAACCATCATCAATTCACTGAGATGCATCTAACATAGGCCAAAAAAACATGGCCAACATACCTCTATTTACTATACCCCAAGAATATAAAATACAAAACATAGTCTGAAACACATAGCTGTACTAATTGAGCAGGGAACGTTGTAGAATTGTAGCTAGAGGAGTGAGCAAAAGAGTATGGACTAACTGAACAAATTAAATAAATGAATATTCGTATTGATAAGTTTCTCTATCAACAAATTTAATAAGTTTCTCTTATTACAACCGTCCAAAATTAATCTCATTTTGTCGTCTTTCCCAGCTAATATATATCTACCCACATCTTTTTTCCTAAATTATATCTATCCACATTTGACATGGATTAGTTTTATAGCTTATAAAAACTCTCCACATTTTAGGAAAAGTAGCTAGTATTGTTTCTATATGTACATTATATGATATGCAGTGTTATATATAGAACCATATATCATCATCATTTCGATAATTTCATACCAACTTCAACCCCCAAAAGTTGGACAGTTTTCTTTATATTAATAAGATTATTCTATTAATTTCTCGAGATGAAAAAAAAGTTTGTTTCCTTTTATTGTGACTATTTCTCTGGTCATTAAAATATTTCTCTATATGTAAATAGCTCTGAATTAAGTAACATATACTTCATCCGTTTCAATAAGATAAACGTTTTAAAATTATCACACATATTAAAAAAACTTCTTAAATTTTAATTATAAGTACATTATTTTTTTGTTTTTAACTATTTCCCATAAGTGATAACCAATCAAAATTCAATGAAAACAATTAATTTTTCTTGAAATTTACTTCCTCTATTTCATAATAAATGTCATTTTAGACTTCAACACACAGATTAAGAAAATAATAAATTTTACATATTTTCTATATAAAAACGCAACTACTTATACACCTAACCTTATTTTAACCAATAGAAAATTAAATTACAGAATAAAATTAATAAATTTCACATTGAAAATCGAAAACGACACTTAATTTGTAACGAATTTTTTTCTAAAACGACACTTAATATGAAACGAAGATAGTACTATTTATCATTATTACTTGCATATGTAAAAAATTGATCTTTTTGAAACAATTTTTTTTATAATATGAATCAATTTGAAACGGAGGGGAGTATATATCTATACAATTATTTGCGAAGTAATTTTTCGCAACGGAGCTCTCACGTTAAAAGTTGGAGTGGTTAATATCGATTATACTCTTAATGAATTTATATATAATTTATTTTATAATTAAAAACGAATTTATAATAATAACATTAGATTTCTAACTTATATTAGATTATTGATTATAAATTAATATGATAATTGTCAAAATAAATACATATTACAAAAATAAGATAACTTTTATAGATATTGTGTTGTTATTAGGAAATAATATTATTTTATTACAAATATTTAAAATATAAATATAAAACAAGTTAAAATTAAATATTAATTAATCAATAACATTTGTATAATGGTATTTTCTAAAATATTTCTAATATGTGGGTTTTAATTCAAATTTCAACCCAAAATATGTGGGCATATTATATATTTTGATTAAAAATATCATATATAAATAATTTGATTTAATTTTTTTAAGAACATAAATAATTTTTTTTTGAGAAAGCATAAATAATATTTATCATGTTGAGTGATATCAGTAAGAAGATTATGTCCTCAAGACGGGCAGAAACACCTAGTATTCCAATATTTGCAAACAATCTTGGCCTTAAACTGTTTATATTATCAACACGTTCTAAGAAAATACAGTCTATATTATTGCACGATCTGACTATTTTCCGATTATTGCACTAAACAGTTTTGACACTATTTACCCACGGTTAGAATTAGGACCCACGTGGGACTAATTAAATCACCATTCATAATTTAACCGTGGTTAGTTGCAGTAAAATTCCATGTCAATAAATTCTCACACTCCTCTTCCACATACCACATCCCTGGCGCTCACTTCTTTTCAAGTCTTCTCTCTCTCTCGATGCTCGCGTCTCTATAGAGACAAAAAAAAACGATCTACTAAAGCGACGACGTTTCGGTAGCTTCAATTACATTCGGTCAACGACATAAGGCTACCTACGTGTAAGATCAGAACTCCGACAATGACGGTTTTCTCCGGCAAACAAGTGGTTCCGATGGATTACGAGGCAGAGGTATCACAGCGGCTTCTAGATGCTATCCTCGACGGAGACATCAAAACGGCATCCGTTTGCGTCTCCGATCCGCTGCTCGACGTGAATTTCGTCGGCGGCGTAAGCTTGAAGACGAGGAGGAGCGAGGTCGTGCTCCGTGATGAGACGGCGAGCGAAGTACGAGTGGAGTACGAGGAGTTTAAAACTGACGTAACGGCGTTGTTCCTCGCCGTTAGTTTCGGAAACGTAGCTCTCGTGAAGCAGTTACTGGTAAGATTTTGTTAGCCGTTTCTCAACTGTCTCTAGCTTTAGATTTTGAAACCGTACGTTGATCTTCACGCTGACTATATCTGCAGTTAATAAAAAGTTACTAAGCAATCAGTTTCGCATTTTACAATTTTTTTATTTATTACATGTCTCACTCTTTAGCTTACTTTACTTTTCTTAATTTTCGAAATTCAAATTTGGACACTTCTTTTACTTTATTATCAGTAACATCCGTATTTCATTCTTTCTGCTTTTTATATAAAAGAGACTAAAAAGTATTCCTGTAAATTTTGAAAAATATCTGCTCTCATTAAATTACTTGTTTCTGTCTTGTACTTAGCTAAGATACAATTTAAAAGTGAGCTCTGACCATTTTATTAGTTCAAAAAATCTGAATTGGATTCCGTGTGAGTTTTTAAAATTCATAAGCTGTTGACTAGCTTCAATCTCACTTGGGAGGTTGTGTTAGTGTTAGGAATCTTCCAAGATGCTAAAGAGGTAACATAAAAAAACAGACGATGTGCATAATTAACCGAGACAGATTTGCATATTATGCGGGCATCTTATGCAGCTATGGTCACAGATTTGCTTTTACTAATTCTAATTATAAAACTATAATTGCTGGATATATGATTAGATGCTTAATCTCCTTAATTAGGCTAAAAAGTTAAAAAAAACTTGGGTGCTCTTGGTTGATAGATTTGTTGGGACACAACCAAAGCTCACGGTTTGTCTGCAGCGATAATTGATTGATGGTTTTATTGTCTTGTTTCCTGAAAGCAACTGATGATATTTAGTACGACAACAAGTGTTGATACACTGCACCATGTAGCTTGTTCATTAAACAGAACCTGAGGCCCCCCTCATATGGTCCTGTCACTTGTCATTGGCTCTGCATCTGGATTCTATGAATACTATATTCCAATAGTTCTTCTCTCTCCACTTAACTCGTCATGACATGTCTGTGATCAAGCCAAGCCACTCTCTTTTGTGTCAGGGTTGTTCCCTCATGGTCTTGTAGATCCTTTTCAATTATTCACTTGCATTATTGAAACAACTCACTATATCATACACAATTTTTTTTGTCTTCTTCTTCTGGATCTTGTTTTCACCCTACGTGGGATCCTTTAGCAGTGTATAGCTTTAAAAAGTTACTGTATAACCTTTACAGTGATCTGACTTTTCCTGCAATGTCGTATCACAGACCATTGGAGCTGATGTGAACCAGAAGCTCGTCAGGGGATTTGCAACGACTGTAGCTGTAAGGGAAGGTCATTTCGAAGTACTTGAGATTCTACTCAAAGCCGGTGCTTCTCAGCCGGCCTGTGAGGAAGCTCTAACCGGAGCAAGCTGTCATGGACGCGCTAAGTTCGCTGAACTGCTTATGGGAACTGATCTTATTCGGCCTCATGTCGCTGTGCACTCTCTAGCCACTGCTTGCTGCAGAGGTTTTGTGGACGTTGTAGAGACCTTGATCAAAGTAAGTTTCTCATCTTTCAAGTTTTACTAATTGACCACTTAAGAGTTGTTCAATAGGTATCTTACAGAAGATATTTTTATGTTATTGCTTAATTTCAGTGTGGAGTAAATGCTGATTCAACGGATAGGCTTCTGCTTCAATCTTCAAAACCTTCTCTATACACTAATGTGGACTGCACAGCTCTTGTTGCTGCTATTGTTAATAGGCAGGTCTCGGTCGTCCGCTTGCTACTTCAGGCTGGAGTCAAGACAGATATCATGGTGAGGCTAGGAGCATGGTCATGGGACACTAACACTGGAGAAGAGTTCCGTGTGGGAGCTGGAGTGGCTGAGCCCTATCCTTTAACCTGGTGTGCTGTAGAATTCTTTGAAACCAGTGGTGACATATTGCGTATGCTGCTCAAACTCCAATCTCCAAACACTCCTCACAACGGTCGGACTCTACTCCACCATGCCGTCCTTTGCGGTAACGAGGAAGCTGTCAGAGTCCTCCTCAGCTGTGGTGCTGATCCAGAAACTCCTATCAAAACTTCACGAGGCACTGAACTCAGACCGCTTCATATTGCTGCACGTTGCGGGTCAGTGGAGATCATACAACAACTGGTTAGCTTTGGCTGCAATGTAAACTCGAAGACTGATGCTGGAGACACGGCTCTGCTGATCTCAACAAGACACAAGCATTCAGAATGCTTAAAGGTTCTAGCATTAGCTGGTGCTGACTTCGCCTTAGTGAACAAGCTCGACCACACTGTTATTTGGGTCGCTGAATCAAGCAAGTGGTGTCTCGGATTAGAACGAGTAGTTCTTGAACTGATCCGGTCTGGTGTGGCTCCACATTCAAGCAACGCTTCAGTTTTCTCGCCCTTGTTGTACGTAGCTAAAGCAGGAGACGCCGAAGCACTTAAGACTCTTGTAAAAGCTCAAGAAGTCTTCCTAGACTATCAAGACGAGGAAGGATGCTCGGCTGCAATGCTAACGGCCATGAAAGGCCATATTGAAGCATTCAGAGTTTTAGTCTATGCAGGCGCAGACGTTAAACTATTCAACAAAGCAGGTGATACAGTTGTTTCTCTGTCTGAGAAGAACGGTAACTTAGACATGATCGAGAAGGTGATGCTCGAATATGCTCTCGAGAAAGACAACAGGAACATGGCTGGTTTGTTCTACGCTCTACACTGTGCTGCAAGGCGTGGAGATGTTAAAGCGGTGAAGCTTTTAAGTGGGAAAGGATACGGTCTTGATGTCCCCGATGGAGATGGCTACACTCCTTTGATGCTTGCGGCTATAGAAGGCCATGGAAAAATGTGTGAGTTCTTGATCACACAAGGAGCAAACTGTTATGCTAAGAACCGAAGAGGGAAAACGCTGCTGGATCTAGCCGTTGGTGATGCGGAGGAGGTGATCCGTGACGAGTTGTCTAGGAGGTTTGTGTTAAAGGGAAGCAGTGTGATGAAACACACCAAGGGAGGGAAAGGAAAGAAGCATGGGAAGGGGTTAAAAATGTTGGAGTTAAGTGGAGTGCTAAGTTGGGGAACGTCTAGGAAGAGAAACGTGGTGTGCAAGGAAGTAGAGGTTGGGATGAGCCAGAGGTTCAGGAGGAACCGCAAGGGGAAAGGCGATGAAGCTGCGGAGGAGGAAGGGGTTTTCAGGGTGGTGACTAAGGAGGACAAAGAAGTTCATTTTGTGTGTGAAGGTGGGTTGGTTGGTGCAGAGATGTGGGTGAGGGGAATAAGAGTCGTAACAAGGGAGGCTACTTGTGGGAGAACTCAGACTCAGGATTAGAGTGTTGGTTTTGTACATAAAAGAAGTTTTGAGAAAGGAAGCTTCATTCTGAAGGTAGTGTGCTTCTGTTGTGTTGTGAGGTGTTTATAGTTGTTGGGTTTGCTTAAGAAGATTGGTTCAAATTGTAGGTTTGGTATATGCAATATATTTGTGAAACAGCTTGATAAATGTGAGATTTCAATGAACTGAATTTGAAATTTGAGAATGAAAATCTAAATAGTTCACAGTCAAGATCCCACACATGTGATAGGGCCTTGCTATTAAAAACAAGAAGTTCTGAAAAGCATTACAACACAAATGGAAACAGCAGTTTTGTTTACCAGTCACAAAGGCAACAAACGTAACCAACATAGATAAACAGAGAAGCTTTGAGAGTGTTCTAATCGCTATTGTAACCATCATCATCGTTATCCTTATCTTCATGGTCTTTCACCACTCGTTCTATGAACTGTCTTCGAACTCCAGCCATCACAGCTTCCCTTGAGGAGTCATCGTCTCCACTTTTGCCATCATTAAGAACTGGCTCTGATTGACACAAAACTAAGGCTACACCTGCAAAAGCAACAAAGATGTTCAGACATAATTTTCTCATGGTCTATGACCATTCTGCTGAAGACATGATAAGATGATAGTATGGTTGGAGATAAGACCATGCTATAGTTACCAACAAACAATTGGGATACAGATTGAACCAGACATCAACAAACACGCTTTAAACTTACTCTCTGGGGTGCACCTACGGCCAACACTCTTCAACCCTACATGAGTTCCTTTAACAGCACCATGATGGTACACCAGCAAGGTAGGGAGATTGCAATCAGGGTAATTCGGAATACAATCAGTTGATATAATCTTAACAAACTTCGTTCCCGGGTATCTACTAGCCAATTCCTCTAGACATCCCAATAACAAGCCACACTCTGCAATACTATCACATTAAACAAACATTTCAGGCTTCAAGACCAATCAATAATAATTCACGAATATTACAAAAAAAACATACCCATCTTTGTAGAGACATACAATAACCCAAACTTCAGCAGAAGCTTGCGTAACCTCCCTCACGAAATCAGAGCTAGAGATTGGAGTCACTGATCCATACCTCCTTACTTTAGCAGCTTCTCTCAGCTCCGACAACCTCTTCTTCCTATCAAACCATCAAAGAGCTATGAAACATTAAATTTTTTTTTTTTTTTTGCTAAATAAAAAACATGAAGTTTGTTTTAACGTAACCCATGAGCCAAATCTTAATAAAGTCTCACTCTTTTCTAATCCAAACCACAAACGAATCGATAAAAACCAGAAATTTAACAATAACAGATCCGAGAGATTCGATATGCAAGCAAACCTGTAATCTTCGAGGAAGCGATCATCGTCGAGATCTTTATCGTCCTCAAGATCCTCAAGCTCCTCCTCCGTCTTCCCATCGAACCAAGCTTTGTCCTTTGGAGCTGAAGCCTCGTCTTGCGCCGGAGTATACGCCGGCGGTTTGAACGCCGGAGCCTTCTCCGGGAGATTCCCTAACTTCCGTTGGATGTCGTCCCATTGCGTCGACGTTCCTTCCACGTCCTTGTAGACGAAGTGATAATCTGCCATCGAAAAAGCTTCAAATATTCTCCGTTGGATTATACAAAGAGAGAGACTTTGAATCTGTGATCGCAATTTCGTTGATAGTGGAAAAAGGCTTAATCATGGTTTACTTAAACCGAAAAGTACCGAGACTATTGCTTATTTAATTCATACCGGTCCGTTATAATCGGTTTATACGTAACCGTCTTTACGAAGACCCTCCGGATGAGTCAGTGTATTCACATTTTTTTTAGGGCATATATATAGACGTTCTAGACTATTGCTTATTTAATTCATACCGGTCCGTTAGCAATCGGTTTATGCATAACCGTCTTTATGAAGACCTTCTGGGTCAATCAGAGTGTTTGTCCTTTTTTTTGAGGGTATATATAGAGAGGATCTAGAGATAATTAAACACACAATTGTGATTTTTTGAGAGGGAGAGAAGAAGGCGATCCAATTAGGGTTTTTTGAAATCGTCTATCATCGGAGATATGAACAAGATGGAGGCTCTAATAACGTCAATCCAGGGTTTGTCAGGGAGTCTCGGAGACTTGTGTGCACTCCACGCTAGACTGAGAAAAGCTGAGGACTCGCTCCGAATCAACTCGAATGTTCAGCTCTCTATTCTTAAACAGCTCGACCCTTCGATTCATTCTCTCGGCTACCTCTATATCCTGTGAGTTTAATTCTGTTTTGGATGTGTTTCTGCTGCGATTTTTTTGTGGATTTCTGATTTTGTATTTGTTTGATTGTTTCAAAGAGAGGCTAGTACGAGTGGTCCAGTGTGGAAGAAGAAAGCTACTCTGTTAATTGCTCAGTTCATTAACTGTTGTGATGCTGGGCAGATTCGTTTAGCGAGTGAAAAATGTAATATTTTCTCTCTCTGTCTTCTCTGTGTTTTTATGTTTTGGAGAGATTATAATGATGATGTTATTTGTTTTGATTTTTTTGCAGTTGTTATTCTTTGTAAGAGATTTAAAGACAGAGTTTTTAAAGATCCTTTACGAGGGGTGGGGCCAATGTTGTCAGCTGTTCGTAAGTTGGTTCAGGTCTCTCCTAAACGTTTGACTGCATTGCATCCGGATTGTCTTCAGCTATGTCTCCAGGCCAAGTGCTATTTAGCTGGTTTCTCCATTCTTAGTGATGATATCGTGGAGGTTGACGAGCCTAGAGATTTTCATCTCTATTGCTATTATGGGTAAGCCAGTTTCCGTCATTGTCATCATCAGTTTTTGTCAATGGTTATTGGTTTTTAATAGTATGTTATATCCTCGAACTTGATGATCCCTATGTTGATATATCAAAAGTAATTTTTCTTATAATTTACTCTGCATTTTTGAAAGGGGAATGATATGCATTGGACTGAAGGGATTCCAGAAGGCATCGGAGCTTCTTTACAATGTAAGGCAGTCTGTTTACTTTTTTTTTTTTTTTTTCACATGTTGTTAGCCTTTATGGACTTTTTGCTTTTGGTTTTAACTCAGATCGAATTACTTGTTTCAGGTTGTTACTGCTCCAATGCATGAGGTTAACTCCATAGCTTTTGAGGCGTACAAAAAGTACATATTGGTGAATCTCATTCACTCTGGCCAGGTAAGGCTGTGTTTATCGCTTTTTGTTGTTGTTTATCTTGTTTTCTGTCGTCGGAGCGATTATATTTTGCTTGATTCGGATCCATTGGATGTTTTGAGTAATGTGGTTCCGCTAGTAATATCATGTGTCTATTTTCCCTTCATTCAAGCATTATTTATCTTATGATGTTATTCTCATATTATTGTATTCGTTTTGCTTGTGCAGTTTAGTAACAGTCTCCCCAAGTGCGCTTCTTCAGTAGCTCAGAAGAACCTCAAGAACTGGTGTACAGTAAGTTTGAATCTTATTCATTGCACATGTATCGATTTGTCTATGTTCTGATGTCTTCTTACTTTTTACTCTTATGATGAGATCTTTCTCCATTTTTTGGTGGATAGTCTTGTTTTCAGTTCAATCGAATGAATTGAGCTGCTTTGTACCCTGTACTAGCTGAATTTTTGTCAAACTTATGATTTTATCATTCTCTCTTTTCTCAGCCTTATTACGAAGTGGGTAATTATTACAATGATGGAAAGATCAGTGAACTAGAGGCAGTGGTTGTGGCCTACAGCTCAGATTTTGAAAACGTAAATCCCCCTAGACACTCACTGTGATTTCTCACTGATTTAATCTTCCTAGTTTCTATACAAAAACTAATCTTCATTTACCCTATAACTTGCATTGATTAATCTTCACTCATCCTACTTTTCAGGACAATAACCTTGGATTAGTTAAGCAAGCAGTGGCATCCCTTTACAAGCGGAACATACTGAGATTGACTCAGAAGTACTTGACCTTGTCGCTTGAAGATATAGCCAACATGGTCCAACTTCCTAATGCTAAGGAGGCGGAAATGCATGTGCTTCAGATGGTAGTGTATTCTGTGTGTCCCACACTTGATTTATGGAAGCTAGATAGTAATCTATTAACTGTTATATGCAGATCCAGGATGGTCAGATACACGCCCTTATAAACCAGAAAGATGGAATGGTGAGATTCTTGGAGGACCCTGAGCAGTACAAAACCAGTGAGATGATAGACGTCATGGATTCTGTCATCCAAAGGTATGTCTACGAACCAAATTCTTTGCTGTCACGAAACCAAGCTCTTTGCTACTGTTTGGATTGTTTACCCAGAGTAGTTTGCTAGAGTCAAATTCTGTGTTCTATGTTATTTTTCAGGACAATTGGGCTGTCGAAGAATCTTATAGCCATGGATAACAGCTTGTCATGTGATCCTTTATACGTGGGAAAGGTAAATAAATGCCGTGTTTCATAGACTGTTCTGTCCTGGAACCTTAGCTCTCAAGACTAAACCGTTGACAACTTTAGTCTCAGGTTGGAAGGGAAAGGCAAAGGTACGACTTCGGAGACGATTTTGATAACTTCCCTCATTTCTCCATGTAAACAACAAAAAGACCTGAAGGAACAAAACTTACTTAAAGACAACTCTAGTTGTGAGAATCTGGACAACTTTCTTTTGCTTTCTTTGTTCTTTTCGGTGTTTTATGAAGTTTCATATATTATTTTACTCAAAATTGCAAACAAGTAGAGAAGAGCTAATCTTTACCATTACTTACAAAATGCGATTCTCTTCCTAAATTTTCTTATGGAAAAAAAAGGTCCATAAGCGCAATCCTTGTTTGTCTTCAAAAAAAAAAAAAAAAAAAGCGCAATCCTTGTTGCTGTTTCAGACTGCGTGTCGTTTTTGGTGAATCTGAAGATTATCGTGTCGTTATAGTTTGGGCTTGTTCAAGGCCCATAACACAAAAGTTAAAAGGCCACGTAGATTTTTAATTTCTAAAATCATTTTCTGTGTCGCTTCCACTCCCTTTCGTTTTCAACCTGATTTCCCTCTCTTATCCTCAATAAAAAAAAAAAAAATCTTGCGAAAAAAGAACGGAACAACATCCTCAGACTCGCCGCCGGAGAATCTTTCCACTTCCACAGAACCGTTAATTTCTTGGAATCGATGATTTTGATGGAAGGTGTCATCACATGTCTCCAAACCAAATGCGTCTCTCTCCCAATTCGTCCATCCCCACTTTCTAGGGTTTCTTCACTTTCTCAGTTGAGGAACCGTAACCTCGTCTCGTCATCGCGATCGATTCCTCAGAGGACCTTGTGCGTTTCATCTTCGAGCTCAGATACTTTACTCGGCTCACCAAAGGAAGACGAGACGCAGAGCAAGAAAGTATCGAGCAAGAAGGAAGGAGATGAGTCAGAGGATTTGAAGAATTGGTTGGATAAGAATGGTTTACCTCCTTGCAAGGTATTGCTCAAGGAGAGACCCGCTCATGATCAAAACCATAAACCTATACATTACGTTGCTGCTAGCGAGGATCTTCAGGTGGTTTTGACTTTTATCGTTACAGAATTAGTTTAATAAAATTCGATCGTTGTTGGTTCTAATTTCAATTGTTTATGATTGCAGAAGGGTGACGTGGCGTTTTCAGTTCCAGATTCTTTGGTGGTCACACTTGAAAGAGTGTTGGGAAACGAGACTATTGGTAATAAGCCATTCACTTCACCAAGTTACTTTCCCCAAAGCTTATTTTATAGCCATAAAATCTCTGTTTTTGTTTTTTTTTTTGGTACAGCTGAACTGTTGACGACGAATAAATTGTCTGAACTGGCTTGCCTAGCTTTGTATTTGATGTATGAGAAGAAACAAGGGAGGAAATCAGTTTGGTATCCTTATATAAGAGAACTCGATCGTCAAAGAGGACGAGGTCAGTTAGATGTGGAGTCTCCGTTGCTGTGGTCTGAGGCTGAGTTAGAGTACTTAACTGGCAGTCCAACGAAGGTATTGCGTTTAGTATATGCATGACATGTGATGTGAACTAGTTTAGTGGATTCTTTGTTTTTATCTTCTTTGATATGGTCTAGGCTGAAGTTCTTGAGAGGGCTGAGGGGATTAAAAGAGAATACTCGGAGCTTGATACTGTCTGGTTTATGGCTGGATCTTTGTTTCAGGTGTTTGAGTACTTTATCTACTTGTTTTTTTTTTTTAATATATGGGATGTTACGAGCTGAAGCATACTTACATCAAGTGTTTGTGTCTTTGCAGCAATACCCATTTGACATACCAACTGAAGCTTTTACTTTTGAGATTTTTAAACAAGCATTTGCTGCTGTTCAGTCCTGTGTGGTGCATCTACAAGTAATATTTCATTTCTTTTGGATGTAATTCTAATCACATGGTCTTAACTACGTTGCTCTATAGATGAATCTACAGTTCATTTTGCAATGTATAACCTAAGCTAGTCTGGAGTTACTTGTTACTTCTGCTAATCTAGATTTGTGTGCTTATCCCTGTGCACAGAATGTCAGTTTGGCTCGTCGGTTTGCTTTGGTTCCTCTTGGTCCTCCCTTGTTGGCATACTGTTCCAACTGCAAGGCAATGCTCACTGCTGTTGATGGTGCTGTTCAACTCGTGGTAGATAGGCCATATAAGGCTGGTGATCCTATAGTTGTCTGGTGCGTCTGTGACCCCTATTGCTCTTGCTTTCTGATTTTATATTTCTTACATTTGTGTTTCATACTTCTTTACAAGGTGTGGGCCACAACCTAACGCGAAATTGCTTCTGAACTATGGATTTGTTGATGAAGATAACCCTTATGATAGAATAATCGTTGAGGTATTTATGAAACTTTGGTGCCTTACTGTAAAACTACAATATAGTTTTCATTTGATTATCTCCGTGTTTTTAAGTCACATCTTGCAATCAATCCAGGCAGCGCTGAGCACCGATGATCCTCAATATCAGGACAAGAGACTGGTTGCTCAAAGGAACGGGAAGTTATCCCAACAAGTTTTTCAGGTACGAACATGTAACTTTGTCGTTTTAACAAGACTACTTTGAGATGTTTTGCCTGAGTTTTTTTTTTGGCCATCAGGTTCGTGTGGGAAAAGAAAAAGAAGCTGTTCAAGATATGCTTCCCTACTTGCGACTGGGTTACATGTCTGATCCTGCTGATATGCAGTCAGTTATTTCGTCTCAAGGTCCAGTTTGTTCAGTAAGTAGAGGATGAGTGACCTTTTATTTGTTTAAGTAATCTTATGATATTCCCTTGATTGTATCAAATGTTCAGTTCCAACATGTGAGTTCCATTGATACTTCTATACCTGAAGCTACTTGTATAGGTTTAAACTCTCAGTCTCTTTTTGTAGATGAGCCCTTGCATGGAAAGAGCAGTACTAGATCAGCTTGCTGATTACTTCATGAGACGCTTGGCTGGCTACCCTACCACCCTGAAAGAAGATGATGCATTGGTATTTCGTCAGACTTTGCAGTTGTTATAAATTAAACTGTTGGTTTTGGTATTACTGATACTGAATTCGTGCTCAATAGTTGGCAGATCCTAGTTTGAATCCTAGGAAGCGAGTTGCCACACGGCTTGTCAGATTGGAGAAGAAAATGCTAGCTGCATGCCTTGTGGCAACAGTTGATTTGTTAAATGAGTTGCCGGATACAACCATCTCTCCATGCCCAGCACCCTATGCTCCTTCCTTGAAATAAAAAAAAGGCACTCACTCATCTCTGTCTTATCTTTCCCAAATACTAATAACATATTCTGACCTTCTAAAACAATGTGTTTTTTTTTTTTTTTTTTTTTTTTTTTTTTTTTTTTTTTT